TCAATCGGCTCACGGGTTTCTGAGAAAATCATTTTTTTCTGAATTTCAGCTTTTTTCGATTTTCTCGAAAACGGTATTAGATGAAGAGCTGAAACTTGCAGTATCGAAGTATCTTATAAGTACCAACATACCCTGAAATTATAAGCCAGATATCTTTCTGGGGCCGATTCACTATACTTATCGGCCTATGGCCTTTAATTGATTAATAAAAAAAAAATTATTTAGTTTTATTTTATAAAAAAATTTTTAATAATTTATTTATATTAAAAAATTTACATTATCAATTTCAAATATTTTATTCTTCTTAGTCTTCATCGGTGTCTATTTTAAGTATTTCATTAACTCGAAGAAGGTTTTGTCTGTGAAAAGTTGAAAGATTTTTGAAGAATCCATCAAGCAGCGTAAGGCCCTAAGTAATAAAAAAAAAAAAAAAAAATACAAAAATTAAACAAATAAAATAGTTAATTAACTTGAATATCAATAAAGAATTTTCTTATTTACAACTTACTTTTTCTGGTACCAATTTAATTACATGCCACAGATCTCCGAAAAACACCTGAAGAAATTCAAGCAAGTCTGATAAGACTTCCCGCTTTAGAAGACGTGTTTTAGTCGAAGAAACATTACTACATTTTTTAATGCACTCGTCAATTTCACTGTCAGAATTTTGAGCCTAGAATTAGCACATTCAAAGTAATTATTTAAAAAGATAAAATAATTATTAATAATAAAAAATAGTACTTACATAAACAATTGCAAAGAGTAAAAAAATTGCACTGATCAATAGAAAAGTTTTCATGGTCAAAGTTTTGATTAAATAAAAAAAAAAAAAAAAAAAAAATGTGCTGCGTGCAGTTCAGTGTGCAAATAAGTATTGAGAAAATTTGGTAAATTTCCGTACAGTTCTGCACTTACCCTTGAAAATCCCATTTATTCCCCTCCTCCAAATTTTTAAAAATCATACCTGAATCACTTACCCCTCAGTACACTTTAGAATTTTTACACTTACTATACTTAGTCATTTTTATATATTAAAATAATTTTTTTTCAATTTACTGTATGAAAAAAAATAGGAGGATAGTAAAATTAATTTTCGTGATATTTTATGCTTCAATTTTATGTTTATTAATATAGATTTAATATACAAAAGCAAAGTATTTGAAAAAATAAATCAGTCCGAGCAAGTTGACCCATCTTCGTCTTTAAAGTATTCTCCGATTTCGCAGATTTTTCCCATAATGTCAAAAAAAAATTTCTGACCTTTTTTTTCTGCTACTTTTTCTTCCTATTAATGCAAAAAAAAATATGTATATATTTTTTTTATATATTTCAATTCAATTTAAATTATCAGTGCACTGATAGAAGGATTTGTTAATATTTAATAAGCTTTATTAACTGTTAATAAATGATTTTTTAACATCATGGGATTTAATAAATATTTATTAACAGTTAACAGTTAGTATTTATTAAGTACTATTTATTAACTGTTAATAAATATTTATTAAATATTAATAAATGTACTTTTCTCCCAAATAAATATTTATTAAATGTTAAAAAATATTTATTAAAATTTAATAAATTAAATTATTATCTTCAAATAAATCAAATTATTAATTAGTTAATAAATCCTTCTATCAGTGTGCAACATATAAAAAAATCATATATAATTTTATTTAAATAAGATCAAGAATATTAAAAACTAAATATTTTTATCCGAAAAAAAAAAAAAAATACTCACGTCATCTGATCTTCTGAACCATCCACGAATAAAATAATGCATGTAATTTTTGAATTCCTCCCAAGCGTCTAATAAAGCATTTCTTTTATTAATCGAATGACTTTCAGTCGAATTTGATAATTCTGTTGTTTCAATGGTTACATTTTCCGTTAACACTCCTGAACTCGCCTGTAAATTTATAATTATACGTAAAAAAACTCAGTAAATAAATTTTATAAATAAAATAAAAAAATAAAAAAACTTACAATAACTAACGCGCAAGCACAAACAACAAGTCCTATCATTATACGAATCATTTTTTAAAATTATTTACTACAAATTTAATTGGATTTAAAAATGTGCTCCAGACTGCAGGGCGACTTGAGACTAAATTACTTTCTTTAACTTTTATTTTGTACATTTTAGAGGATTTCCCCTCTTTTAAGATCGAAAAATTTACCTGAGGTTCGCATTAAAGTCTATTGTCAAGTACTTAAAGAGCGTATAAATTTTAAAAATTATTATCATTAAATTTTAAAGTTCGAGATAAGGTTGGTTTAAAATGATTTATTACAAAATTATATACATCATTTTTCATTTATTTTAAAATAAATTAAGTCAATACAATTATTTGAATATTTTAAACTTGAATTATTATAAAAATAATTATTAGTGTAAATATAATTAATATTTAACTCCCAATATGTCTTTGAATGTGTCCTTCATACCATCTGAAAATCCCTTGTAGTTTAAGCCAAACATTCCCAAGTGAAAAACAACCTGTAAGTAGAAAATATATGAAATCATTAGATTTTTTTTAATTAAGACTATTAATGTAAAACAATGAAAGTGGATTATAATTTCACTTACGCGTTGAAGCCATTCAACAATAGCATCAACAACATCTTCCCACCATGGGAGTGCTTCTCTTTTGGCTAAATGATTGTTTTTTATATGTTCAGTACGACTGGCGTTGTCCATTTTTAGCGGTTGAATGCCGGCCTGCAAAAATACACGTGATAAATTTTTATATTATAAATTATAAGTAACTTAAAATACGCTATAAAATATAAGTCTTACATAAGCAACAGCGCAAATTACAAGAAGAAAAATTATTTGTCTAAACATTTTTTTATTTAAAATTCAAGTTTGAAAAATAAGTCTTGCTGATACTCTAGTAGCAGAGGAAATGAATTTTATCCTAAAACTTTTAAGTGTTGCAGTTGTACCCCTCTTTTGGTAATGAGAAAGAAGACTTAGGTATTAAAATTTGTTAAATTTTGTAAGAGGCTTAGCAGTAATAAACTTCTATTGTATTGAGGTCCTTAGAATATTGAATAAAAGACAGAAAATTACGGTTTAAAGTTACTTCTAATGGTTCTTTAAGTACCTGAACTTTATTTACAGATTTTTCTTATTGTAAAAATTTTTTGAATTATTCTGCATATAAAAATTTGAAATATTAAAAAAAATTTTTAAATTTTGTTTTTAACAAAATTTAATAATAAAAGTGACACCGAAATTAGCAGACACTTGACAATTTTTTATTTTTATTTAAAAATAAACTAGATCTAAAAAATTATTTAAAAAAAAATAGCGGTAATAATTTTTTAGAATGTTACTAAAGTTAGCCGATGTTTTTAATTTTTTGATTTTTTTTTAATAATTAAATTAAAAACAAAAAAAGTTATTTTTTAAAAAATTTGTCAACTTACAGTTTTTCAAATGTTTTTTAACAAATTGAAATTTTTTTTTTGATTTTTTTGATCTTATTTAAATAAAATTATATATGATTTTTTTATATGTTGCACACTGATAGAAGGATTTATTAACTAATTAATAATTTGATTTATTTGAAGATAATAATTTAATTTATTAAATTTTAATAAATATTTTTTAACATTTAATAAATATTTATTTGGGAGAAAAGTACATTTATTAATATTTAATAAATATTTATTAACAGTTAACAGTTAGTATTTATTAAGTACTATTTATTAACTGTTAATAAATATTTATTAAATATTAATAAATGTACTTTTCTCCCAAATAAATATTTATTAAATGTTAAAAAATATTTATTAAAATTTAATAAATTAAATTATTATCTTCAAATAAATCAAATTATTAATTAGTTAATAAATCCTTCTATCAGTGTGCAACATATAAAAAAATCATATATAATTTTATTTAAATAAGATCAAGAATATTAAAAACTAAATATTTTTATCCGAAAAAAAAAAAAAAAAATACTCACGTCATCTGATCTTCTGAACCATCCACGAATAAAATAATGCATGTAATTTTTGAATTCCTCCCAAGCGTCTAATAAAGCATTTCTTTTATTAATCGAATGACTTTCAGTCGAATTTGATAATTCTGTTGTTTCAATGGTTACATTTTCCGTTAACACTCCTGAACTCGCCTGTAAATTTATAATTATACGTAAAAAAACTCAGTAAATAAATTTTATAAATAAAATAAAAAAATAAAAAAACTTACAATAACTAACGCGCAAGCACAAACAACAAGTCCTATCATTATACGAATCATTTTTTAAAATTATTTACTACAAATTTAATTGGATTTAAAAATGTGCTCCAGACTGCAGGGCGACTTGAGACTAAATTACTTTCTTTAACTTTTATTTTGTACATTTTAGAGGATTTCCCCTCTTTTAAGATCGAAAAATTTACCTGAGGTTCGCATTAAAGTCTATTGTCAAGTACTTAAAGAGCGTATAAATTTTAAAAATTATTATCATTAAATTTTAAAGTTCGAGATAAGGTTGGTTTAAAATGATTTATTACAAAATTATATACATCATTTTTCATTTATTTTAAAATAAATTAAGTCAATACAATTATTTGAATATTTTAAACTTGAATTATTATAAAAATAATTATTAGTGTAAATATAATTAATATTTAACTCCCAATATGTCTTTGAATGTGTCCTTCATACCATCTGAAAATCCCTTGTAGTTTAAGCCAAACATTCCCAAGTGAAAAACAACCTGTAAGTAGAAAATATATGAAATCATTAGATTTTTTTTAATTAAGACTATTAATGTAAAACAATGAAAGTGGATTATAATTTCACTTACGCGTTGAAGCCATTCAACAATAGCATCAACAACATCTTCCCACCATGGGAGTGCTTCTCTTTTGGCTAAATGATTGTTTTTTATATGTTCAGTACGACTGGCGTTGTCCATTTTTAGCGGTTGAATGCCGGCCTGCAAAAATACACGTGATAAATTTTTATATTATAAATTATAAGTAACTTAAAATACGCTATAAAATATAAGTCTTACATAAGCAACAGCGCAAATTACAAGAAGAAAAATTATTTGTCTAAACATTTTTTTATTTAAAATTCAAGTTTGAAAAATAAGTCTTGCTGATACTCTAGTAGCAGAGGAAATGAATTTTATCCTAAAACTTTTAAGTGTTGCAGTTGTACCCCTCTTTTGGTAATGAGAAAGAAGACTTAGGTATTAAAATTTGTTAAATTTTGTAAGAGGCTTAGCAGTAATAAACTTCTATTGTATTGAGGTCCTTAGAATATTGAATAAAAGACAGAAAATTACGGTTTAAAGTTACTTCTAATGGTTCTTTAAGTACCTGAACTTTATTTACAGATTTTTCTTATTGTAAAAATTTTTTGAATTATTCTGCATATAAAAATTTGAAATATTAAAAAAAATTTTTAAATTTTGTTTTTAACAAAATTTAATAATAAAAGTGACACCGAAATTAGCAGACACTTGACAATTTTTTATTTTTATTTAAAAATAAACTAGATCTAAAAAATTATTTAAAAAAAAATAGCGGTAATAATTTTTTAGAATGTTACTAAAGTTAGCCGATGTTTTTAATTTTTTGATTTTTTTTTAATAATTAAATTAAAACAAAAAAGTATTTTTTAAAAATTGCACTTACAGTTTTTCAAGTTTTTTACAAATGAAATTTTTTTTTTTATTTTTTTGTAATAATTTTTTCAATTAAAAAAAAATTCTAAAAATTTTTAGATGTCGGCTAACTTAATTTTCATTTTTTTAGAGCTTTTAATGATGGAATTTTTTTAACAAATTTTTTTTGCTATTTATTAGCAAAAATTTTTTTTTTAATTATCAGATGTCTCAATTTCAGTATCATTAATAAAAGTATTTTTTTCATTTAAATCACCCAAATTACAGAAATAACCATTAAACTAATTATCTTAATTGTATCTAATTACTCAAGATTATCAAAAATATTTAATAAAATGTTGAGGTATTAATTTTTTTATCAGATTACGGCTATCGCACGACAAACAAAGAAAAACTTTATATCACTTCACAGACAAAGTTTAATTAAAAGAATTAAAAAAAATTGCAATTAACTCATGAAATTAATTGTTTTGATCAACTAATCAACTGATTAGTTAATTATTTTATTGAATAACCAAGAGTTGTAGTTAAAAATTTTATAATAAAACTTCAACTAATAAATGACAAAATTCGCGCAAATAAATTTGGCGGGAAAATTTGAATTTAAAATACCGACAGCTGGTACAAGAAAAATACCGAGATATATGTCAAATCTTTTTACTTTCATTTTCATGTTTGACATGTTAAATCCCCCCACTGGTTATATTACTATCTACAGTAATCTTTTTGTTCGTGGTACCATGACCGAAAGTAAAATAAAAAAAAAAAAAAAAACAATATAAAGAAATAGACAGTGATATGTAAGAATGGAAGGGATATAAATTAAATGCTAAGCACAATCATTGTGGTGTACCAGTTAAGCTGCTTGACAGCTAGGCTCCATAACTACCATCCAGCTCTTTCCAATAAACAATAATATATATATTAAATAAATATATATATTTTTTTATTTTATCAAAACAATGTCTACCTAATGTGAATAAATTTTATTTTTTTATTAAAAATTAACTGTCGAGAAATAACAAACAATTATCAGGTATGTAAAAAAATTTACATAACTTGCATTAGAGTTTAATCACAAACAAGTTTTTTTTTTTTTATAAAGAGAAAAATTTTAAAACAAAATCAATGAAAGTTAATTAATAAAATTTTTCTATTATTGATTAATTGAATTCTTACATAAATGACACTAAAAATAGACAGCTGAAAATTTATTTATTTTTTTTAATGAAAAATTTTTTTTTAAAACTAAAAAAATTTACAGGTGAGAAATAAAAAATTTTGATTTAATTTATTCATTGAAGAAAATTGGAAAATTGTTTAATGTCTTCTAATTTAAGTATCATAAAAATATATAAGTATATATTTTATTTTTATCTATTACAATGTATTAAAATAATCAAAAAATCTGTATTGTATAAATTGAAGGTCAACAATTTAAGCTTCCAAGTGCATTAATGTGCCAATCATTTTAAATTGCAACTGTGCAGTCAAATGAAATTGTATCAATTTTTATGCATTGATTAACTCGAAAGCGCTTGAGTTAAAAAAAAATTTTAATTAATTGATGTGTCTATTTGTTTAATGTTAAAAATAAAAATTAAAATAATAAAATGATAATTTGAACAGAGTTGTCTGAGCACGATGTTAAAAAATCGGAGAAGCAATATTATCAATTAAGATTATTGTTATCATAATATATAAAGCATCTTTGTACTTGTTGAATTCACTTAGCATCAGTGCACTTCACTCTCACAAACACCATGGATGGACCTTGTCTTCATCAATTCATCGTGACACCTTTTAAGAATATCCAACGATTACACCGATTTAGAGAGTAAGATATTTTACTATTATTGAATGTAATGGGTTCATTCAGCTTGCTAAGTACACTCTAGTTAATATATTTTTACTCTTTCTTTTTATTTATTGCATTCTTTATACTTGTACGCTCTCTTTATTAGAGACATGCTTTTCTATTTATCCCATTATTTATTTATTCATGTATTCACTTTTCAATTGGTAAATTAGTAATAATGAACACTTTGCATGGAATTTATTTAATTTTTATTGTAATTTAATTGGTTATTTACTGACATGGGTTTTATTATTATTATTATTATTATTAATTAGCAATTAATTTTTAAACTAATAAAAAAATATTTTTAGATAGAGATTAAAAAGTAATTATTGCAATTTCAAAATTAAAAAAAAATAAATTTAGTTGGAAGTAATAAAAAATATTTTTAGATGCAAGTTTTAAAAAATTATTTTTGATGAAAAAAAAAAAAAAAAAAATAACACAAATTATTGTTCAACTGCAAATTTTTAAAAATATTATAAAAACATTTTTAGGGTTAAAATAAAAAAATGTTTTACAAATTAAATACAAAAAAAATGTTTTCAGAAGAAGAAAAAAAAAATTATTAAAAAATAATTTTAGTTAGAAATAAAAAAATTTTTAAGCTTTACTGTGATAAAATAAAAATAGAAGCATAATTTTCTAATATTGTTTTATTATAGCTAATAAATTAGAAGAAGCTTTGTAGAAACCTTATATCGCAAAGGTCAAGTATTAGCTTATATAATATTACACTATACGAATTATATTCTCTCACATATATATTTATGTAATAAATTTAATAGTTTTAAAACATACATAATATAATGTCATTGGAGAATGTTATTGAATATTTGCGTGGCAGTTTTCATTTAAACTAAAGTGATTAAGTGTTTCAAATAGATAATTTTACTGATAGTAATTATGTCACGATTTAAAAAGTAAAAAAAGTTATTTTCGAAAAAAAGTTATCTAGAGATTAGAGTCAGTTATATTACTCTAAAATTACATAGTAATTTATTACAATTGTTTCAGAATAAAATGGATGAATCCACGAGCAGATGCAACGACTGCTTATGTGCCAACGTACATAGAGCACTTAGCAAACATAATAACTCATGGAATATGGATAGTTCCAGCGTTACTGGGAGCCGTGGAACTTATTTCAAGATCTACAAATTGGACTCAATTAACATCAGCATGGGTCTACGGTGTTGCATTACTTTTACTTTTCGTCATATCCACTACCTTCCATTGTGTCCATTATCGTAATCACAAGTAATTACAGTTTAAATTATTTTCGTATTTCTTCTTCAATAGACTAATACAATACATTTAAGTATAGAGTTAAATCACTAGCTCGAGTAAATAAGGACAACTTATTTATTATTCATTCAATCGTTTATCAAAGTTCTAATCAATAATTAATGAATGAATGAATGTTTGTGTGTTACATTGTTTCATAAAAAAAAAAAAAATTATCATAGAATAATTTTTATTTTCAGACAATTAAAAGATGTGCTACATCGTTGTGATCGTGCGATGATATATGTTTTTATTGCAGCGACATATTTTCCATGGTTAATGGTTGAAGATTTTCCAGATAATGATATTATACCTACCATGAGATATTTAGTATGGATAATGGCTATTTTTGGTATTTTATACCAACAAGTATTTCATGAAAAATATAAAATGTTAGAAACTATTTTTTATCTAGTCATGGGTGTGGGACCAAGTATTGCTGTTATAACTGTTGTAAGTATTATTAATTAATTAATTAAAAAAATAAAATTAGAATAAATATTTAAATACCATTTGTGTTCAAATTTAAATACAAAATAACTTTATTTTTTGCCAAGGTACTGACTACTGTGATTATTAATGACCTCAGTTAATTACATACAATTAAGTATTCTCATGCTTCGTTGATGAGTGATTTCATTATTTTTGTTACTATGAAATTATTAATACTATGTCAGAGTTGTCGGAATACTTTGTAATGCTCTTCAGTAATTTGAAAAAAAAAAAATTCATCGAAAAATTCAATATCGAAAATTTTTAATCCGAATTTTTATATCTTTTATCCGAGATTTGTTGTATTCTTATTTTATTAAAATACATAATTTATTGGTCGTAAGATTAATCGTAACTTAAATACCCTAAAGTAATATATTTCTAACTTATCAAATAATTAAGATATGAGTGACTATCAGCGTTATTTAAGTGTTGATAAAATAATATATATATTTTATTTTAAATTTACAGAACAAATTTGACAACATACGAGAATTAAAGACTGGTGGATTTATCTACATCGTTGGAATTTTATTTTTCAAATCTGATGGACGTATACCTTGTGCCCATGCTATCTGGCATGTATTCGTAACAGTAGCTGCTGGATTCCACTATTACGCAATACTAAACCATCTTTATCCTCCAATTTATAAGGATGAAGCCGTAGCAATTGATTTGATAAAATCCGCAGGAGAACTTTGAAATTACTATTTCAATATAAACGTTAGCCATAAAATTATTTCATTTATTATGATTTTATTTTATGAAACTTTTACATGACAGTAGAAGTTTTTTTTTTTTTTTTTTTGTTAAAAACGTAAATATATTGTTTATTTTTTATTTTATTCATTTTATACATCATTGTTTCTTAAAATTTTTAGAAGAATTTTAGAGACAGTTTTTGTAAATTAAATGAATTATTAATTACTAGGTAATTTGATGTACAAATTAAAAATTGTTCTAAATTTTTTATACTCAAAAATTTTAAAAGTTAGATTATTTTTTTTGTTTCATTAATAACATAACTCTTTGTGAATATTTAAATAATTATGATGTATAACTAACAAACGAATCTCATTAATTAAGTAGATAAAACTTGTAAATAGTGCCAAAGTGCAATCAAAATTATCCATGTATGTATACAACAAAGTATATAATGTTATGATAACATATATACATACTTATATATCAATATATACTTGTATTAATATTAAATGTTAGAAAAATAATGTGAACCATATGATAGATAAAAAGAGTGGAGAATATTATTTATATATAATTAAAAAAAAATTTATATATGCGTACATATATAAAAATTGTAATTGCCAAATGTAAATGTTAATTGATAAAAAAATTTATACGTCTTATCAATGATTAATTTGACAAAAATTATTTCTATAGAAACGCTTGTCATAAATTTAATCATCCGTCATATTTATTGATTTTTCATTGTTATAATTATTGTTAAACTAACTTTAACTATTAGAATTAGTGATAATTGTTTTTCAGAAACTAATTTAATTAGTTAGGTGTAAGTCATACTCTAAATTAATGACGTTGAAAAGAACATTGACACTGAAAGTGTTACCATGGTTACCAGTAAGTCAACAGAACCAAAACCACGTTATAGCTATAAAAATGTCACTCTTTGTTTGTATAAAACACTGCAACGTGAAAATATAAATCGGGCGCGCAAGTGTCATGAAAAAGAAAAAAAAGTATATTTATAAGTTATAATTAAATATTATTAGCTATTTTTTTTTGTTGATTACCCTTATTATTTTTTTATCATATTTTTAATGTCAGAGGTAAAATGAAGTTAGTCTTTACGTGTGACATTGATAATATTATGTAGGGTAAAAAAATTAAAAGTTTACGTCAACGGAAAATTATAAATACGATGGATAGTTTGAAAAAAAATTCATCATCTGAAACTTTTCGTGATGATAAAATGCCACCCTGGTTATTAGAAATGACTGAGTAAGTTTTTTAATGAAAATTAATTTAGAAGGTATTTAATAATTTTTGTGAGAAATAATTTATGGCAAAAAAAAATTTTTTTTTAAATTGACATGTAGAAATTTTAAAAAATAAAAAATGCAATTTTTTATAAATAATTTTTTGGAACAAATTTGTTTGTTAAAGAAAATTAAAAAATTGTAAAGTGCACAGCTAAATTTAATGTCATAGTTTTTTAATCATATAAATGTTATCAGTTACTTGACCTTTTTTAATTTTATTTAATAAAAAAATTGCATTTTTTATTTATTAAAATTTCTACATCTCAATTTTTTCCCATAATTTATTTGTTACAAAAATTATCAAATATCTGCTAAATTTATTGTCAAAATTTTTTTTATACATTTTAATAAATTGATTATTATTATTTTACAACTTAAGATTTTTATTTATTTTATTTTATTTTTTTTTTTTAGAAATGTAAGAAAATTAAGTCAAGATAATTTTATTTCATTGCCGACGCAATTAAATTCAAGTGAAGAATCAGCCAAGCCAGCTGATAAAATTGATAACCCTGAGAAGCGACGTAGTGGTCGACGAGCCCAGACCTATGAAAAAAGTGATTATCCTAAAAAAACAGACAACCGCAAAGGAATCAATTGTGTATCGGCGTCGTTACTTGAAATTCGAAGCAAATTTAACAAGCCTCCGTTGGTATCAAATATTTCGCTACGTGAATTAAAGGATAGGGATAATACCCCTTTGGATTTAAATTCACCAGCGGGTCCTTACGACACGATAAATTTCTTCGCCGACGAACGGAAGTCGTCGATTGATTCATTGCTGTCGAGTCAGCTGAAAAACCTGAATCTTGGCGAGTTGGAAACATTTGACCTTGGAGAGGCTTCTGGGCTAAATACCAAAAAAATAAATAATTTATTCAACCGAGACACTGATTATTCTCCTAAAGGTTAGTGATCAAATTTTTATTGACTTACCTTGAGCACTTAGCCGGTGAATATTGGAAATTAATGAAATTTTCCGACATTTATTTTATCTTTCAGGTTTTGATAAAAATGTACATGATTTTATAATACCAGAATTACCTTCTGGAGAGTCATTGACTATAGATATCCTCAGCACATGGGGTGATAAGAATTACGTCGGGCTTAATGGAATTGAAATATTTTCATCAACTGGTCAAACTCCGATAATAACTAAAGTAATTTTAATTATTACTTGTGTTAATATTTACTTTTGTTGGGAAATTTTTAAAGATAAAATTTATAATTTTATGATATTTAAATTTAAAGACTTCTGATAATTTTTGAAAATTTTTTAACAAATAAATTGCAGCAAAAAAAATTGTTTAAGAAATTCTATAATTAGAAATTTTTAATAATTATAAATGAATTTTTTTTTTTCATAATTTTTTAAGTCTTGTTTATTTAAAAAAAAAAAAATAAAAATTAGCGTGTTTGCTAATTTCAGTGTCATAATTTTATGATACTAAAATTGAGAGATATCTGATAATTTAAAAAAATTTTTCAACAAATAAATTATAGCAAGAAAAATTTATTTAAAAAATTTTAGAAGCTCTAAAAAATTATAAATTAAATTTTTTTTAAATAATTTTCTAGGCCTTATTTATTTCTAAGAAAACTAAAAAAATTGACGTGTCTGCTAATTTTAGTGTCCTTTAATTTTTCATTTTTAATGCTCTGTAAATTTTTTTTTTTTCATGAAGTCTCTCTTTTTTCTCTGCCAAAATATTTTATCTTAGTTTTTTTTTTTTAATCATTAGTATTTCGTTTACAGATTTGGAATGACTGTGATGGGAGTTGTACAGAGAGCGAAGATAAAAAAAGCGATACAATAAATAATTTAATCAACGGAGTATATCGAACTAAAAATGACTTAGACATGTGGTTAATACCATTTACTGCAGGAAATCATCATTGCATACACATTGCATTTTCTGAAAGTACCAAAATTGCTTTAATAAGAATATGGGTAAGTATTTAGATTTATGGATTTTTTAAGTTAAAAAATCAAGTATGTTGTTAATTAATTAAAAATTTATTTTCAGAATTACAATAAGTCAAGGATACATTCTTATCAAGGTGCCAAACATGTTGTTATTAAATTAGATGATGTTATTATTTTTGACGGCGAAATAGCGCGATCATCTGGTGATATTACGGGAGATATTAATTCATTTGGAGATGTAATTACTTTTCTTAATAATTTTAATTCAAATGCGGGTTTAATTATTGGTAACTTATTTTTTAGACTATTTTATTTACAACTGATGAAGAAATACTAGAGCTGATTTCGGATAATGATAGAAATTTCGATAATGGTGAAGATAACTCTCCTGAAGAAATTGAAATAAATAGACCTATCACCGGATCAACTGACAAAATTGTACGTAATTATTAACAGTGATTAATTTAATGAAATTAATTTTTGTTTTAATAATCATGTCACTTCATTGTATATAATTACATATAAATTAGAATAGGTTTTATTAGTAGAATGTGTAATTTACAGAATGAACTACACATTAGTCAATCGGATGAGCAACTTAATTTAACTGGAAGTAGTGATAAAGATATATCTATTGCATGCAAACAAATTAAATTATTTTTGTTATCTAATTGGAATTCTAATGATATGATTGGTAAGCGTCAATAGAATTTTTTTTTTTTTAATTATTATGTTAATATTAATTATAATTTAATAAACTCTTCTTCTAAAATATTTTAAAATAATTTAATAAACTCTTCTTCTAAAATATTATAAATAATAATAACTAAAATCATTTTTGTTTAATAGGTTTAAACGGAATAGAAATAATAAATGACCAGGGTGCAATAATTCCAGCGTCGCAGTTATCATTAAATTGCAATATTAAAAATAGTAATGAAGAAATATTTCATCTTGTAGATGGAATTAATTTAACTACTGATTCCGATCACATGTGGATAATAAATAATGATCCGGATTCATTAGTCACCATTACCATAACATTTAATACTGAATTATTTATCACAGGTTTAAATATTTGGAATTATAATTATTCACTCGAGTCATCATACTGCGGAGTAAATAAATGATTTTAGTCAATAATTTAAAAATATAATGTTCATTGATTTGTAATTGAAATATATTTTGCCAGGTCAAACAAATGCTTGTAGAATTAGATGGGAAGAAATTATTCGATGATGATTTCGAAGGCTTTTTGCTAAGACGAGCTCCTGGCTCATGTCATTATAATTTTTCCCAGGAAATAAGTTTTGTAAACCGACCCAAGATAGCTGTTGGTAAAAATTATAGTGCGTCTGCTGAAAGAATAGTTGAAGATAAATTTAATATAATAAAATTATCAAGAGGTAAGTTCTCAAAAGAGTTTGATTTTTAATTTTATTTAAAATTAATTTTTAATTTATTATTACACTTTTTAGATGTCTTAGAAAATAGTGATTATGAATCACCGCCAGTACCTCAAGGCTTTGTTTACCAAATTGTCATATTTTCAACTTGGGGTGATGCTTATTATGTTGGTTTGAATGGTATTGAATTATTTGATGCTGATAAACAAAAAATTCATTTAAATAAAAAAAGTAAGTATTTTATAATATTTAATTAAATTAGTAGATATCTGACAATTATTGGAAATTTTATAGCCAATCAATTGTTATAACAAGAAATTTTTTTTTTATTTCCACTTATAATTTTTTTAAATTTCTACAAGTGTAATTTTTTGTTTAATTTTTTTTTTTTTTATTATAATTCAATTGTTATAAAAATCTTAAAAAATTGTTGGATGTTTTTTAACTTCAGTATCATATAGTATTTTATTACAATTATTTAATTTCAATTACCCAAAATTTTTTGATAATTAATTCTTAATTTTTTTTTTTTTTGCAGACATCACAGCGTACCCAGAAAGTGTTAATGTTATCGAGGGTATCGAAAACGATATCAGGACACCTGATAAATTAATAGATAATATAAATGACTGTAAAGATGGAAATCATTCATGGCTAGCTCCAATTCTACCTGGACAAGTAAATTCAATTATTTTTATGATTAGGGCCAAGATTTGTGCCTTAATTTCAAAATAAATGGCTTAAATATTTCATATCAAAGTGAAAATATTGGTTTTATAAAAAAAGTTTCGGAAGAAAAGTTGTAGAAAAGTTAATTTTTTAAAACGTCTCATATAATTTTTACCGTAATTTAAAAATTAAGATTCACAATTAATGATTCAAATTTTTGCTATAAAAATTTTAATTTTGAATTTACGGCTTTGTTATTGGTCCTAAGAACAAATTTGTAATTACAAGAGACATTTTTTTTTTATAAAATTAAATTTTTAACAACTTTTATTCAAAAAAATTTTTTATACGACCAATATTTTACAAATTTAACATCATTAATTATTAATTGTTAGTTTGAAATTAAAGCAAAAATTCTGGCCCTTAATAATAAATTATTATTAAATTATCTATTTCCTTAATTATTTAAATATTCCAGATAAATCGTATTTATATAATATTTAACGATCCAATGACTGTGTCAATGATTAGAATATGGAATTATTCTAAAACTTTAGAAAGAAGAGTCAAAGAATTTGGGGTGAATACAGCGATATTTAATTTTTTCTTTTATTCACTAAAAATTCAATGAATATTGATTTTTGTATAGATTTTCGTTGATGATTTATTGGTATACAATGGCATGTTAGCAGAGAACGATGCAAACGGTACTGTATACTTTAGCAGCAATAATTATCGAGACATACAACTAGCAAAATCAACGTAAGGATTTTTTATTAATAAAAAAAAATATATATATTTATTTTATTGCAAAGTAATTAATAATTATTTTTCTAACAGATCGGATCAAGAAATAAATTTATTGAATTTAGAAAAAGTTAATCAGGATGAAGATTCACAACCAGACCAATTGCTGAGACCTTATACCTCATTGCTGCCAAAAAATTAACGCAATTCTGTAAAATAAATTCTAAAAACATTTTTTATAGATAAATCAAAATATTTTTGTTATTGCAATCAGTATTCGATATTCATTTATTAGTTACTTATTATTTATTAAAAACAATCACTAAAATATGAAATTGTTTTTTTATTTATTTTTTTTCTTTTACCATAACACTTATTCATATGTTTTGGCACTGAAGTTGACAGACATTAGAAAATGTTTAAAAATTTTTATAATTATTAAATTATTATAAAAAAAATTTTGACATTAAAGTTAGCAGTCACTTAAAAATTTTTTTTTAACAAATAGATTTTTTCCAAAAAATTATTTTAAAAAAATTTCATTTTTTATATTTTTAAATTTCGAAATGTCAATTTTTTTTCTACTTTTTTTTGGCATAATTTATTTGTTAAAAAAATTATTAAAATTATCAAATATCTGCTAAATAAATTTTCTTAAAAATTTTACATGTGAAAATTAAAAAAAAAATTATTAGTGGAAATTTTTTAAAGCATTTTTTTTATTGTAATTGATATTATTGCGATATGTTATAAAAATTGACAGCTGTCAGCTAACTTCAGTATCATTGAATAAAATCCCTATATTATCGATTCAATTGACAATAAATATATTTTCCCTCCAAAACTACTGGATTATTAAATTAAAATTAATACGCATGGGTCAATGTCAGCATCCACTGAAAACATTACGTTCAGCATGTGCGTTGTTCTTTTATCTTGACCAATAACAGTTAATTAACTTATTGATAGAGACGTTTTAACTTATTAAACTCGCTAACAGTTCTAAAATAATTGATACAACAGTTTTTAATAATCAATCCAGTAATTGCAATTGACATAATTGAGATAACATTTTAATTGTTTGGTTGTTTTTTCTCATTTTGAAGGTCACAAGGTAAGACAATGAATAACTGAAGTATTTGTATATAACCAAAAATAGTCTCTGTATTGTACCGGCATTTTTTTTTTTGTTTCCTAATTTAATTAAGTGGAAGTAATATTTTTTTATAATATTATTTCAAAATTATTATAAACTTATAAGAAAATGATAGACGTTTTACAATTGTTTCATTTCTTAGTAGAATACAATGTACTTATATTTGTAATATTCAGAAGATAGGCAATTTAGTATGATAATGAAATTAGCAGACATTTAATAATTTTTGTTTAATTAAATTAAAACTAAAAAAAAATCTTACATGTGAAATTTTTCTAAAAATTTTTTTTTTCCATAATTTTCTCAATAAGAAAAATCATAAAAATTATCAAATGTCTGCTAATATAAATTCATTTTTATTTTTTTAGTATACTGTATTTACGAAACACTTGAAATTTTTTTGATTTTTTTCTTTAATTAAATTGAAGCTAAATAAATATTTTAACAAAAATTGTACTTATATTTCAAATTTTCTTAAAAATTTTTTTTTAATAACTTTTTCAATAAAAAAAAAATCAAAAATTATCAGATGTCTGCTAATAAATTTATTTTCATAATTTTTTCAAACACTCTTATCCTTGAGCTTATATTTTTTTTTTTTCTAGATGAATCGAATAAATGAAATTTTTGAGAAAGATAAAAGCTTACCAATCATCAGCGAGGAAGATAAAATTGAACTCATGATAGAACATTTTCTGTCAACGGGACCACCGGTGATAAAAAACAAAAGGAAGGATGCGTCGAGAGCGTTGGAATTGATTAAATCAGCCAATGACTCATTCAAATTAATGCGATCAATGTATTTGATAACAATGTACACCGAAGCAATAATGAACGCGCCGATAGGTTCACCAGAGCTAGCCCGCGGATTCGCGAGCCGCTCAGCTGCTTTGTGCAACGCACGACTGTTCGAAGATTCGTTGAAAGACATCGACCGTGCGATGGCCATCGGTTACCCTGATCACCTGAAAGGCGCGTTGTACCTGCGTCGTGCTAAGAACTTGCTATCACTGGACCCAAAGATGCGCCCAGAAGTTCAAGAAGCTATCGCGGAAGCGCGTCGTTTGATGGACAAAGTCGACGTCGACAGTGAAAAGAAGATTGACAAAGCGCTGAAGAAACTTCGACAGAAGGATTCGTTCAGTGAGCCTTATAAGAAGTGGGACTCGCATAAGTTTCTTCCTCCAGTACCTAATGATAACCCACTGATACCTCGAGCTTCAGGAGGAATCGCTTTGAATTATAATGAAGAATTCGGCCGGCATGTTATTGCGACTAGGGACATTAAAGCGGGGGAAACATTGATATTAGCCAAGGCTTACGTGTCTGCGGTTAAAGTCGATAAGATGGCCAAATTCTGCTGGTATTGCTTACAACGTACCTGGGCGAGCGTTCCCTGTAATTTGTGTATTAACGTCGTATTTTGCAGTGAAGAATGTCGTGATAAGGCTTGGAATGAATATCACGACATTGAATGCCGTTTTTTGACTGCTATAAAAACTGAAAATGTTGATCCGACAGATATTTTAAGTATCAAGATGACTATTAAGGCTGTCAAGGAAGCTGGTTCGTTGGAAAAACTTAAAGAACAAGTTGACATGCTAGATTCTATGACAGGTATATTTTTAATTGAGATTTTTGTTAATAATTCACTAAATTATTTTTGTGTTCTACTGTCTATTTCAGACAAAATAAACAGTAATTTAAACAAAAATGTTTTTGATGACACTCGTTATGAAACTGTTTGCATTATTAACCGAGATAAATTAAATCATAAAGAAGCAATTGCAGATGTAGCTAGATCAGTTGAATTATTGTATTATTTAATGAAGTCTACTAAAATGTTTGGAAAAAAAATAGTCAATCTACAGAAGCCTCGAAATAATCAATGGGTTAATTTCATGTTGAAGCTGATTTTTAGGCACAAAGAAATTTCTCATCATGCTGTTGAAGTATTTTCATTTTTTTATTTATCATTAAAGACCCAGTTATTATATTGATACTGGGGCTTAGTTATTCAACTCTAATCAACTCTAATAAATAAGTAAATATAATTTTTGAATTATAAATTTTACGATAATTGATTTTTTGGGACCATTTTATTTTTTTAATCAGACTAAAATTGCAAGTATCAAACAACTAGGCCAGTGTCAATAACTGGGTCTTTTACCTTATGACTTATTAATTTAATAAAAATACTTTACCTTTGCAGTTGAGAGTTAGAAAAGCAGAAGACCATGCGCCTATTCGTTCTTATATTTTGATACCTTTGTATGGATTCTTGAACCACAGCTGCGATCCAAACTTTCACAAAATGACTTCTGGTGACATGAATGCTTTGATTTCAACAAGATATATTAAAAAAGGCGAGCAAATTTTTATGAACTATGGATCTAGATTCCAAATGATGGACAAATGGTCAAGAGCAGCTTACTTGGAGCGACATAACTTTAAGTGCCATTGTATTCCTTGTGTTAACAATTGGGGACCTAATTCAAAATTACCATCATTTATGGTAGGTAATTAACAAACCAAAAATAGTGAATGTTGATTAGTTAGCTAATTGATAAATTATTGGTTTTTTACAGGAACAACCGCTACCAATTACAGCCAAACAATTTTTAGCAGTCATTGCTCTAGATGCTTCACAGCATGTTTCAAAATTTTATGATGACAATTTAAACGTCGATCGCCGTGAAAAACCTGACAGCTACTTTTTAGAGTGCATCAACAAATTCAAAGGATTCCTGAACTTTTACGGAGGTATCGTTAGTTACCCGTGCCAAGAGATTGAAGACTGCAAGCAGGCGCTTACCGACGCTCTGAAACTCGTCGACGACCATTCCTTATAATTTATTTAAATGCTTAAGCATCCGATAATTTATTTTAATACCAAGTTTCTTTTAGTTTATCAAACAGTAAAATAAGTTAAATACGCTAAGAATTTTAAACAAAGTAAAATAAATAATATAATTTTTTAATCAAGTTTATGGTTTATTACTCAATTATTAAAAAATTTCATTTGATGATAAATTTAAGATTTATTGAAATTACACGTTTAATTATATCCAAGCTCGTTAATAATTTTCGTGTATGGAGCAGTTGATTTCTCAACCTTTTCTGCGGCTTGCCTTGTGAGTTTCTGTAACAAAAAAAAAAAAAAAAAAATTCAGTAATTAGTTAGTTAGTTAAAAGAATTAATTTTTAAAAATATTAATAGAATATTCAAATTTACCTTGAGTTTATCCCTTTTGCGGATACCAAGAACTGCTTTAACCTTCCTCTTGTTCTCAAGAGTCTTAACAACATCCTGGTATTTCCATCCTACTTCATGAGCCAAACGTCCAACATGACAGTACTGTAATATAAATTATTTATAATTAGCAAATTACTTTAATAATTATTACTATTGATCGTATATTTGAATTTAATTAAATACTCAGAAGAAAGTTTGTCAACACCAACTAAATGTTTTCAGTCGCAAATTACCAATTGACCATCATAGTAAAAATCTTTTTATTTCAAAATAAAAAATGTTAAAAAAATAAAAAATTACTTTTCTTCCGGCTTTAAGGCAGATAATTCTCATAGCTCCAGGAACGACCATGCATTTTCTGCGATCGTAAGGTGGTGGGCATCCTTCGTAGGCCTTAAGTCTCCGTAAAGCATCCTTTCCCCTTTGTGTCTTGTGGGGGATCATTCCTAATGAAAAGAAACAAAAGCAATAATTAAAATCATTTATTCTTTATATAAACTGAAAATAAAATTGTTTAATTTAAAATCAGACGTAATTTTGATCATGGCAATCAGATAATATAGGTAAGGAATTTTTAACATCATATCAGAAGAATAAATAATTGTTTTTTCAATGATAATGTTGTAAATTTAAGTGATGAAGTTACCTCTTACTGTCTTGAAGAAGATCTTAGATGGAGCACGGTGATGGAATGGACCACGTGCTGGGTTTACGTTACATCTTTTACGTAAAAAGGACATGTACTTCAATTTGTTTCTGTAAATGAATAAACAATTATTAGTTTTCATTATTTTAAAAAAATTACAATGTTAATTATTAATTATGCGAATCATTTCAATATATGTTTCATTAGCTTCAAATAATAAAGGTAAGGAATATTTTATAATCATTTTAAAATTAAGTTGTTCTTAAATTTATTTTTAAATGTAAAATAAAAAAAATAATTACTTGAAGAAGTTTCCGGAGATGTTCAGGGATTCACAGCGTACGACAATGACTCTGGTACCCTGGAGAATTGCCTTGGCGACCACTGGTGCCAAGCGGCCGGACAGATGGTTCCTGCCATCGATTAAAAGCGGCTGAAATTAAATAAATTGATAAGTTAATAAAAAAAATTGACTTGGTATTAAATTTAATAAAAATTGTTCTAAATATCGGCATTAAAAATCAGTGAAGAAAATAAATATTTACACCAGAATGAATATTGTTGAAAATAATAATAATAATAATATAAAAATTTAAGTTACTGAAAGGAATAGAGTAAATTATAAAATAAATTTTGTTACACGTGCATGACATGAATAAACGCCATGTGTCGAAATAAATTTGAGGTTAAAAAATCAATTAATCCAAATGGTAAACAATTGTTGAAATTAGCTTATAAAATTTATTATCAACAATGCTGATAAAAATACAGAGATTTTTTTTTGTAATGAAATTTTTATTTAAATTTTGATAAATAATTACTAACAAACCTTTCCCGAAAATGCGCTCATGATGTTACCCGCACGAACGAGAGTAACGCGTAAAAAGAGAGATGCCCCTAAATTTCCGGTAACATGAACATGACTATAATTTCTGTAGAGAAGTTCAACTACTCCAGTAGTTTTTAGTTTATTTTCCCACCGACATTTGTGTCTTAAAAGTACTTGTGTTTTTTCAAGTAAGAGGTCGCTAGTTGACACTTACATTGAGCTGCTGTCAAAATAATCAACAAAATAATAAAAAACCATAATGAGTAAAAAATCTATCATGGAGTAAAATATAGTAGTCAACTATTTATTAGATTGTTAATTTAATGAATAAAAATTATTTATATTTTATTTGGTGTAAACTTTATATCATAAGTTATTTATTTTAGTTTTTAATTGTTTTGAGTTTAAATAAATAAATAAATCAACATGGATACAAAACCGAAAAATGAGCATCTTTTAGCACTAAAAGGTATTTTAATGACAATATTTATTATTAATTAATTAATTAATTAATTAATAAAATAAACTTTTGATATTATTTTTAGTAATGAGGTTGACGAGACCAACAATGGCAACACCAGTGATTGTAACATGTGATTCAACAGATTTACCTGGAAATACATTGAATAATGAATTAAAAAATGATTGTACTGCATTGCAAGGCATGGAAAGTCTTGCTGTCGGACAATTCATGGTATTACCTCAAAGTTTTGGGTATTTATCAATTTTATATATGTACTATTCATTATGTCTTATTGGAAAAATGATCCATGGATAATTAATTTTTTTCAGCAATATTTATCTTGGAGAAATATTTTCTTGTTATCTGTGTGTACATAATGGTAGTAATCAACTTGTTAAACATATTAATGTTAAGGTAATTTTTATGATATTGACAACTATTAATTTTTGAAATTCTTATTACAAATCAATTACAATATGTAATAAAAATGCTTGAAAAAATTTCCACTAATAATTTTTTTTAAACTTTCACATGTGGAATTTTTTTATTACATTTTTTTCATGATAATTTCATTGCTATAAAATTATAAAAAAAAAAATTATGTCTGTCTAATTGTATGGCATTATTTTTGTATAGGCGGATTTGCAAACAAGCACACAAACTATTAATTTATCCAATAAAAATGTAAATATTGAAGAACTAGCGCCAGATAATACTATCGATGAAGTAATTCACCACGAAGTTAAAGAAATAGGAACACATATGTAAGTATGAAAGTTAATCAAATTTATGAAAATTAAGTTAGCCGACATCTAAAAATTTTTAGAAATTTTTTTATTGAAAAATTATTACAAAAAGAAGAAAACAAAAAATTTCACTTGTGAAAAACTTGAAAAACTATCAGTGCAATTTTTTAATTTTTATTTAATAAATAAAAAATAATTAAAAATTTGAAAATGTCGGCTAACTTTAGTATTGTATCAAATTTTCTAAATTAACTATTACAGACAAAAAATATTAACTAATATTGTTAATATAACATTATTATATTGTCTTTAATATCTAATTTTTGGATCAACAATAAAACAAGATATTTAAGATATTAATTAATAATGTTAATATTATTATCTTAATTAGTCTATTAGCTAAATATCAAAATAATAATTCAGTTACTAATTCTCTTTTAGATTAGTATGCGAAGTAAGTTATGTTTCAACAGTCGTAGGATCAGCACCTCAATCATTTAGAAAATTTTTTAAATTTCAAGTCGTCAAACCTCTTGACGTAAAAACTAAATTCTTCAATACCGAGGTAAGTTTATTATAATTGAAACTAATGTAATTATAGATGATTTGATAAAAATTTTTTTTAAGTGTGATGAAGTTTACGTAGAAGCACAAATTCAAAATTTAACTGCAGGCCCAATATGTCTAGAAAAAGTATCTTTGGAGTCATCTCATTTATTTACAGGTTCAAAATTTAATAATTTACTCTTAAATAATTTTTGAGTAGACTTTACTTATTACTTCACTTTAAAATATTTCAGTGTCGTCTCTTAATACGAATGAGAATGGGGATTCAGTTTATGGTAAAGTAAATATATTAGATCCGAATTGCTGTCGGCAATACCTCTATTATCTAAAACCACAGCCAAGTTTGATGAAAGATCCAAAATTAATACACAATGCTACTAATATCGGTAAACTTGATATAATTTGGAGAAGCAATATGGGTGAAAGAGGACGATTGCAAACTAGTCAGCTTACAAGATTGGTAAATTTTTTAAATTATTAATTATTTAACAGTAAGATTTCAACTAATTACTAGCAAACTTGCAGTCACTATGTGACTAACGTGACTTGTGAACTATAAAAAATTAAAATTTTGCTTTACTAAATAATGACTTGTTAAATTACACTGTAATTTCTTAAATATTGACGTTTTTAAAGATATAAGCTCATCCCGATTTTACACTCATCAAGAGCTTTCATTTGAGTACCCACATGCATTTTCATATATTTTTCATATATACATATATATAAATATATAAAAAAATGATGTGGGTACTCAAATGAAAGATCTCAATGAGTGTAATATCGGGATGAGCTTATATTATTAAAAATGTCAATAGTTCACAAGATAAAAGGTAATTTCTTAATTATGTATCTAGAGATAGAGCATTTTCGAATGCAGCCGAAATACTTATCATAATAAATTGACTATTGGTGAGAATGATATGAAACCTTGAAAAGGCACATTCAATTCAAGTCAAGGCCTTTGCAATGACATTAAATTTTACTAAAAAAACCGATTTTATCATATGACTATCTTGGAAACAAAATTTTTCTTATTCTCTTAATAATATAGATTATCATTTAATTTTTTATTCAAGGCTTCTGATCACGGAGATTTGAAAGTTACGACTAAAGAAATTCCTATGACAATTTTATTAGAAAATGTGATAGATTTTAAATGCCATATCGTAAATACATCGTAAGTAAATTTCAAAAATACCATTAGCCATAAATTTTATTAATTACTAAGAATATATTTTATTGATTACAGAGAACGAAATATGGATTTATTATTGAGTTTAGAATCAAATAGTTCATTGGCTTGGTGTGGGATTTCTGATATTACGATAGGAAGTTTAAAGTCAGGTGCTTTTATTGATGTTCCTCTTCGTTTAATACCTTTGGAAAGTGGTTTAATTGTATGTAGTTATTGATAGTTAATTATTTGATTCAACTAATATTTAACTTGAATTTTACTTACCTATTAAAATTTTCAGACTATTTCGGGATTGAAACTAATGGATACTTTCTTGAAGAGAGTTTACGATTATGAACACCTTGCACAAATATTTGTCTCACAAGTGGATTAAAAAAATCTGTATAGTAGATGCATAAAAATATATTTTTTATATTGTCTAAGCTAGCTTAGAATACAGCTAAACTAATTAATTCAAACTTTTAATGAATCATGATTTATATTACGTCGCAGACGTCTGGAGTAAGCATCAGATTTAAAAATTTAAAAAAATAAATATAATTTTAACTACCAAAGCTAATATTTTTGTTGTATTTAAATATTTTTATCAGCTTTATAATAAAGCGTATTGGGATTAGAGTTTTAAATAAATTTTACAGTCAGGAATTGAAAATTAGTAAAATATTTATTTTATTATGAAAAATAAGCTTCAATTGTTGACATTCTTTCATTATCATCAACTGCACCGACAGCGCAAGCAAGTAAAGTCTGTACATCCTGAGGTTCATTACCACCAAAAATGTAACCATTAGCCTTGTCAATTGCATTTTTAACTTGCAAAAGAAGAGCTTGATTTGATACATCCAATGGTAGAAAACTCACAAGACTGTAGTCTTCAACTAGTGATATCAACGCTGCATTTAATTTTTTATATCTATATAATTAAAATTAGTAATTGAAATAAGAAAATTTATTTTATAATTGATCTAGTGAATTCAAATTATTACCTAGCTGTTGATGGATCGTCATCAAGTTTTTCCAGTAAATATTTCAAGTCCAATACTTCGGTATAAAAATCAATGTTAAATGCTAATCGGTCTTCGTATTTTTTCAATTGGTCCAATTTAGTCATTATATTGACGTGTGGTAATGCTAGTTGTAACATTGTACTTGTACAGACAACTAATGAAGATAAATATTTACCTGAAAATTAAGTTATTATTTAAAAAAAAAAAAATTTGATTATTTTTGAGTAGTAAAATTTATACTCATAGGAAAAAAAATTTACCAGGATCGGTGCAATGATGAGAATCTATTAAATAAACACTACACAGACGGACTAAATTTTCATTTAATTTTTCTGCTATTGCTGCTACGGATTTATGGTGGGTGTATAGTTCAATCTACCAAAAAAAATCACTTTAATACATACATAATAAAAAATTTTAATAAATTGTTAATTCTTACTTGACCAGGACAATCAAAAATAAGATAATGGTCCTTCAAATTTAGAATTCTTTTAATCAGCCAATCAACATTAGCTTCCAAGAATTCCATACAATACATCAACCCTCCATTTGGTCCAAGTTCAAATTTAGTCATAACATCATCTAGCTTTATCAAATCAGAAATATCTATCGTTGTTTTGTACTCCATATTATCATTCGCTGGATCTAAGAGATAATTCAATAATTAGGTATCAATTGACAAGAAAAATAATTATCAACATACCAATATTTATAACAGCAACTTTTCTCCCGATTTTTTCCAAAAAGTTACACATTGCATTGCAGTAAGTAGTTTTTCCACTACCCGGCGGTCCAATGACCAATTGGCCGAATATTAAAGACATGATTACCAAGCTTTTAGTTTGTTGATTGTAGAAACAATTACTTTAAGTGTACTTAATTCGTAATCCTTTAAGGCAATTGATAGCAACAATGGTCTGTCAATATTAATAGCTTCTGCTATATAACGAACTGCTGCATGTACTTCTTCAGTATCTTTACCAAATATTACGCTGAAAAATGATTAATTAAGTAATAAATTGTAATATTAGAGTAAATTGACAACTGTTATTTTTTTTTTATTTTTATAAAAAATCAATTTTAATAAAAAAATTATTTTTTAAATTTCCTCTAATAATTGTTTTTAATGAACGTGGAATTTTTTTATTAAATCTTTTTCACAATAATTTTATTAATATAAAATTATTAAAAAATTTCCCATGTCAGTTCACTGCAGTTCACTTACTAAATTCCATTAATAAGTAAATAAAATAAGGTATAAATATAATTACTGAGTAGAGTATGTATCACTGTTGAACTGATCGAGAGAAGATTCACGTGTCACTGTGACCATAGACCCAAATTTCTGGAATTGTGTGACAATTATAAACAAACGGTTTCTGTAACAAAAATTATTTAATTTAATATAGATGTGATATATAATCAATTTAAAAAAAAAAATAATGATATTAAAATTAGCTGAGATTTAACAGTTTTTGATTTTTTTAATCAATAAAAATTATAAATAAAAAAATATTTTTTAAAAATTGCTATTAGAGATTTTAAAATTTTTTATAATTTTTTTCAACAAAAAAATTAAAAAAAATTGTCAGATGTTGGATAATTTTATTTTTACAAAAAATATGTTTACTTACTTGTAGACTTTTACGGCAATATCTGTATGATTACCATTTATTAAAATTCCACAGTCATTATTAGACATTTTTATTTATCATTTCTATGAAAACAAGATACATATACGAATTTTATTATTAACCAACAATTCAATTTGTTTATATGAATGATGTGAAAAAGAATACATGTTTATCCACTGCGCATGCGTCAACGACCCAAGGACACGGAACTTGTTTTAGCGCCTCTAACAGCTAAAAGAAGCGCGAATTAATGAAATTTTTTATAAATGTTATTATTATCGGCTTTTGCAAGTTAACCTCAAACATTCAGTGTAATCTGTTTATTGTAGTTGTGTCACGTGTGTTGGTGTTTTTGTGGACTTTAAGTAATTAAACGTAATTGCAACGATTTTAATTAAATTTTATTTTAACTTATTATTAATTATAAAAATTAATAAAAAAAATTTTTTAATTTCAGAGCTACTGAATTGGAGTATTGAATAAAAATGGATTTATCAGAACCTGACCAGAATTTATGTCAACTATGTAACTCTGCACAAGGTAAGTACACTTGTCCAAGGTGTACAAAACGTTATTGCTCATCAGAATGTTATAAATCAAAAATCCATGTCGAGTGTTCTGAAGAATTTTATAAAGAATGTGTTAAAGCTGAACTTAAATCTAAAATAAACAACCCGGATGATACTGCAAAAATGATAAACATTTTAAAACGTCATCAAGAATCATTGAATAATGAAAAATTCACTGATGACTACGATGACGAAGAGGATGAGGATAATTCTCTAAATTTGGATGAATCGTTCAATGTGGTTGATTCAGATGACAATGATGAAATACCAGATCTAGCTGACCGAATTAAAAACATTGATATGAACAACCCGGATGATCTTTGGGCTGCATTGACTGACGCTGAACGTCAAGAATTTGAAGCTACGATTTATAACAAAGAAACTGATAAATTATTACCACAGTGGGTGCCTTGGTGGTCACGAGTTGATACGAAACTTGTTACAGAGGTTGATGATTCACTTGATTTTATCAAAAAAGAGTGTCCAAATTTGATAGAAATTCATCCAATTAATGGAATAGATAAAGCATCTCCATTACTGTCTCACAATCTCGTTAATATTGTTGTCGCTTACGTTATAATGGTTCTTCATTACAATGGCGAACATCAAGAGTCTTTCAGAGAATCAACAGAAATTTTTTTACAACTAAACGATATTATAGGTGGTGATAAAGTATTCAATGATGACAAACTAGCTGCACAGGCGGTAATTGAAAAATCTATTGAATGTGACATACTGCCTGAAAATGGTGAAGCTTTAGTTATTACTTGTGTAAATAAAATTATTCAAGGACCAATTAACGATAAAACATATTATTTGAAAGCTGTTTTATCGGATCTACATGTTTTAATTGACAAATTAAATATTGATAGCACTAATGCGTCAAAATCAAATAAATCAACTCTGCCTAAAAAATTTCAAATTAATTATTTTAAATGTTGTAAATTAACAAAAAAACGTTTACAACTTTGCTTGAAAAAAATTCTATATTACTTAGCTTGGGTTGATAAATTTGGAGCACGTATGAGTAAATTAAACTTTGATTAATTTGTGATTTTTATTTTTATTTGTGATCAACCTTTTGTATATTTATAAATAAAATTATTTATTATTAATAAAATTTTATTTTAGCCATAAGAATTTTTTTGTATACCATCAAGTTCTAGGTATAAAGCAGACAAAATTCTAATGAATCTCTTTCGAATTCAATCACATAAGCAATACTATTAGCTCTTAAAGCTATTTATTATTTTTTTTTTATCCTTTTTGAATTAAATATTTATTTACATTCATCACTGTTAAAATTATAAATAACTTTTATAGAATTTCCAAATCACAGTGCCGTATTTCTCGGTGATTTTTTTATAACAAATAAATATTATAATAAAAATTTTTTAATAATCAATTATTTATAATTTAAATAAAAATTACCTTGAATTTCAATTCAATTCTATCAATTTTACCGCCTAACATATCGACAATACTCTCACTATGTTTTAATAAAAATATTTTAACCATATGGTTCGAGTTAATCAATACTTGACATCTTTTAAATTTCCTAATTAAATTATAAAAATATGCAAACATGTATTTAATGGATTGTCTTAATAATAATTAACTTACTTATGAAGGTAAGCTCTGGTAAGTTCACGATGACATTTAAGTTAGCAGTCATTTGACCATTTTTTTTTTTCATTTTTTTTGCCATAATTTATTTGTTAATAAGATTCTAAAAATTATTAAATATTCGCTAAATTAATTTTCACAAGTTCACGACCATCAAAATCAATTTTGTATTGAAAGTGTGTAGTTATAATTCATATAAGTTTTTTAAAGTCCATGTGTCGCCATCTATAATCTAGAGTATAATATATAATTATTTATCTCGAGCACCGTCGATCTGGTCGATTCCGACAGATTAAATTCTAAATATTATCATTTGATACTTGGTGATATGAAAATGAAACAAAAATGGATGACTTGACATTCGGATCACACAGGTAAACAAATAAACATATAAACAAGTAGTAAAATCTGTTTTAGCTTAATAGTTATCATGTGTCATATGTTGTAATAAAATTTTTATCAATTTAGGCTAGTTCATCTCGATCTTAAAGGAGCACCACCGCGAGTATCTTATTTCGAAAAGGTAAAAACAATTTTGCAAATATTGCTCCAATATCTCGATAAAAAATTTTTTTTTATTCACTATCAATTATAAATAATTAACTTGATAAATTATTATTGTAGTTATTTCCACTATTGAGAACATGGGGCGCAACTGGACTGTTAGTGGAATGGGAAGATACATTTCCATATAACCGCGAACTGTCAAGAATTGGAAGTAACGGACCCACTAGCTTGGGTAGTGGATATACTGTCCAAGAAGCCCAACATATTTTGCAGATTGCTGGTGACTGTGGGTTAGCTGTCATACCTTTAATACAAACATTTGGACATTTAGAGGTACTGAATACAATTATACGGTAAATATAATTATAATAAATAATAATTATTATCATTACCTTGCAGTTTGTTTTAAAACACGACGAATGGAGATCATTGAGAGAAGTGGAAAATTTTCCCAGCTCAATATGTCCGTCAAATCCTGGAACGCTGCCTCTGGTAAAGTCTCTAGTCCGTCAAATAGTTTCCTTTCATCCTGACATCCAGTACTTGCATATTGGAGCCGACGAAGTTTGGCATATGGGTCTATGTGACGTCTGCTCCAAACGAGCCAGCTTGAGCAAGCATGGAAAATTTTCTCTTTACCTGGAACATGTACTGGCAACTGCTCAGTACATTAAGGAAATGTACCCGTGTCTCAAGATTATTGTCTGGGATGATATGATGAGATCTATTGATTTAGAAGCATTAAATGGTATTTTTTATTTTTTTTTTTTTTTTTACTATACATTTTTGTTATTATTTATTTATTTTTAGAACACTATGTTGGGAAGTATGTTGAACCAATGATATGGCATTACAATTCACGTGAAACATTTTCTTTGACTCAAGGTAATTTTATATCATTTTTTTTAATGTATACACTTAATTAAAAAAAAAAATTAAATTAAATCAAGAAAATAATTTCGAAAAGTTTCATTATCTTAAGAATTTTTCTACTCAAATCACAAAGATGAAATTCTTCAAAATTATTTACTTGATTCGAGTAAATTTTTTTTTCTGTGTATTTATAATAAGGAAAATTTTTTTTTAAGTTTATTTTTTATTTAATTATTACATCAAGTTACATTAATTAAAATTAAACTTAAAGGAATATTATAATTAATATTGTATAATATTAATATTAATATTATATTAATTAATATTATAATTATCGTTATTATTGTTAGTGTTGCGGAATAAAAATGAAAAGTAAATTTAATAAATTCATTTTTTAGAATTATGGAATAAATTCAGTGCAGTATTTCCAAATATATGGGCAGCAACGGCTTTCAAAGGCGCAACTGGATCAACCCGACAAATCCCAGTGATAAGTCACCACATAAGTAACCACGAGCGGTGGCTGGAGGAATTGGGAACTCATGTAAACAAAGTTAATGAATTTCGAGGTACAGCTTTTACTGGATGGTCGCGGTATGATCACTACGCGACGATGTGTGAATTATTACCCGCAGCGATACCCTCGCTGGCGCTGTGCTTGAGAGTATGGTTGCATGGATACTCAGAACAAACGCATATGCAAGTTGCCAAAAGTCTCGGATACATTGATCATCCGCTGCACATTAATCCACAAATCAGACCTGCTCCAATTCCTAGTAATCTATCGTATCCCGGATGGCAGCTGACTGGTGGTATCGAATGGTTTTTAAATTTCAAAGTAAAATTCGATAATACTGTTAACAGTGAACAGTAAGTAAAAGTATAATAAGTACGAGAATTATGTTCTTTTTGTTAATTTTGGTTAATCGAAAACTTTAATTTCAGAATAACAACATGGATGAATCCTTGGCAGGTAGCTAATAATTACACAAACCCGATGCAGCTTGAAAGTTTGGTTCCTGCATTCACAGAGTAACTATCAGTTTTTTTTATACAATTTTAATTAACAAATAATTTATTTACTATATGATTTATTACTTATTTATTAGTATGCTGCTTGAACATTCGTCATTGGAGTCGTACCTGAAAGTTCAAATGGAAACAATTTTTTTCCCACCTATGATTGACGAGTGGATTGGTACGCACTTACAACCGATAAGAAATAAATTATTAGAATTAAAACTTACAGTCGAGAACCAGATTAAAATAAATAGTCGCAGATAAATTTTTTTTATTTAAATTCTTAATAGAGGTAAAATTTCTTTTTAATTCCTTAGAATCAAGTTTAAAATTAGCTAGCTATTGATTGCGGCTTATTTTTACTCAATGAAAGACTGAGTTGTTGATTAAGCAGTACAGAGATAATAATGATCGATGATCTCACGAAGCGTTCCAATTCAGCTTATTACCTAAGATTAACCTAATAAATATTTACAATTATTGTAAATAACAATATTTTTCTCTTACAAAAATTATTTATTTTGTAGTTAAAATAAAAAAAAGACATAAATATATATATAGTTTTATAAATAAATTACATTGATTGAGATGCATGCTAATGAATTACACTTATTTAGATTAAGAAATAATCAAATCTAGTTTACATAAGTATTTATTTTAAAAAACTCGGTACAAAAGTTAAGAAATATATTATTAATATACAAAGAGCTAGAATAAATCGTACAATTATAGTATTTAAAATTAAGTACATGTTAAATAATAAATGATTTATTGTAATTATTAATATTATAAATCCTGGATTATTGCACCTTGAAGGTATATGCCATTTGTGGATAGACCTATAGATCTTTATAGCAAGGATTTATTAATTAATAAATAATAGATCAGTTAATTAATTAAATCTTGGAGGAAGACCTTTTTGATTGAAAAATTATTATATGTATATGTATATATTATATATAATTACTACATTATTAATTTATATAATTTAGAAAAGACTTTACATTACATTACACTTGATAATATTTCAATGTTTATCAGTTAAATAAATTGATTAATACTATGGCAATTATAATAATTTTAATTAATTAATACTTCATATTTGCGATTATAAATATGACTGATTCAAATGTAAATGCCCGATATTGATATGTAGTGCGTTAAAATAATTACTTTATATAATTTTATTGATTTTCTTTTTTAGAAAAATTTAAAATATTAATTATTTCCTGAGAATCACCAAATAAATCAACGGAATTACTTAATTTTTGTTTACTACTTGATTAAAAAAAAATCATTTAAATAGATGTAGTTAATAAAGAATATTATATAAATGTACTTAAATAGTATTTTGTGCGTTATGATGCTATTTTATTTAAGTTAATTGATAAGTACTCTAAAGTAATAAATAATATCACCGTAAATCGATAGATTAAAGAGAATCGATGTTGAGAAATGAAATATCAGTCACATATTTGTGCATTATAAATTATCATAATCAGTTATCTAGTAAACTATCATCCTACAAATACTTTGTTTGTTCATTTTTAGTATTTCATCAAATATATATATATATATATATATATATATATATTGATTGAGTTTTCTCTAAAATACTTCGTCATGGCAATTAAATTTATTTTTTATACTTATATGTATTTATTCTGTCGCAGTTTTACGTGCAAATGCTGTCAATGACAACATTTCATTTGGTTCAGTAGGTAATCTTGCAAATTCTATTTCCTCACTTAAACTTTGATCTGGAAAAAAACAAAAAATAAATAAAAAAAAAATAAATAAATAAATAAATAAATATAATATAATAAAATTATTTTCCAAATAATATTTATAAATTTATTCACCAGAAGGTTCAGCTGGCCATTTTTTATGCGAGGGTGCGTAGAGACACAGCAGTGCAAGAATGTAAATATTCCACATTCCATAAACGCCTGTGAAAAATGCAGATGTTGTTTCCAATTCGATATCTTCATCCCACTTGAATTGACCTTCCGCAACCTATTAAATGTTATTTATTAGTTTAATCAACTAGCATATCTTATAAATAATAAATATAACATTTATATTACCTGTCCTAGTATGAAGCCAATGACTGTCAATGACGCACACAGCAGAGTAGCAATCATCAGAAATTTAAAACGATAAATAATTCCTTCGTAGTGTAGCCGTCTGGCAGAACTCATGCTCGGCAATGCTGCTCTCTTGATACTTATATTTATAAACACTTTCCAGATCATATATGTCAAGAATAATAAATACATTCCTGCAGATATTCCAGCGAGAATAATGAATGATAACTATAATAATCTAATAGGAAAATATTTTTTAAATTTATAGATAGTTTTATGTAACTTTAATTAATTAATAAAAAGGATACAGCCAATTTGGTTCCTATACTTGAGACCCAAATAGAAAAGAAGGGATTTCTTAACTGGACACCACGTTCACACATATCAAAAATAAATAATGAAAGACAGCCTACGAATACAGCACTCAAGTGTCGCCAGTAACATTTTAAACTGGTCCTTTGATCACCATCTTGTATCTTTAAATAATAAAATAAATTATTTTGTTGAGTAATTTATTATTTTTTTTTTTTTATAATTGTTGGGACTTACCATTAAATGTTCACCAGCAAAAACAAGCCAGAATGATAAAAGTACTGCGTAGAAAACACCCTGCCTGATATCACTCAGGAGCAACATGAAAGGCATGTCATAAGACAGTGTCAAGTATTCCAATGGCACTACATTAATTATAAATTATTAATCATGATATCTAATTTAAAAAAGTTTCTAAATAAAAAATATTTACTATTTAAAAATGACAAAGCCAATCCCACTGCTAGTAACATGTATTCCAACAAAGCTGGAGATCGTGAAAGTAAATGTATTCTCCTCCAGTACCAAGCAAGGAAGCACAGAACAATAGGGAAGAATATAGTCTTTAGGCTAACCCAGATCTTAGTGAATCCTCCGTTTTGATTGATCACCTGCAATATAATATAAAAATAATTTTTATTAATTTTTATAAAAAAATATCTTTTAAATTTTTAGCTTGTAACTTACAGTTAACCATATGTCAGAAATGTGACCAATGCCTACGTTTATATTTCTATCAGTATCAATAGGCAGTCTTATATTGAGTAAATAAAAATCATGATACAATGAACCGAGCTCGAACAGAGGAATCATACTGCAATTGTAACTATAGCTCTCTGATTGCTGTAACAATAAATATTTTTTATTCACTCAGCTGGGGCAATTTAAGCCAGTAAATTATTCAAAAATAGTAAGATAAAAATTTACATCATTCAGAACACATTCTAAGTTTCTTTCAATCTTTGATGCTGCATAGGGCTTCCAGGCATTATCGGGATCACCTATATTACGATATGCCAGTCTTGCATCTAATACAATTGGAGTTATAGGAGCTGTAAAATATTTTCATTATTTTATTGCATTTAATTATAATATTTAATTAAACAAACATCTAAAAATTTTTTAGATTTTTATAACAATTAAATTATAATTTCTCAGGCAAATTACAGCAATGATTGCAGCGTAAAATTTATTATCTATCTACTTATCTAAAATTTAATCGGTAGAAAATTTTTAAAATATTTTTTTTATAGTGATTGATTAGTTATAAAAATTTTAAGAACTATCAGATGTCTGCTAATTTCCGTATCATCATTTAATTAAGTACTAAAATATTAATTAAATTACCAAGTTGGAGCTGACTGTGATAAACAACTTCAATCTGTAATACTCCAATTAAATTTTGTTGCCATCTTGAGTAATCAAATGCGATATCATCTCTGGGTAAAGGCATCTAATAAAATAAATAAAATGATTCATATGACAGTAAAAAAAAAAAGTTACTATGACAGCTTGACAATTGTATATTATATTATTAGTTAGTCTAAAAATTTTCTCAAGTTTTGTAAAATTACTTGATGAAAAAAAAAAAAAAAAAAAACTTACTTGAAAAGTCCAAACAACTTGAAAAGCTTGATATTGACTTTCTAAATTATAGTAATTCATCTCAACAGTCCGACAAGCACCTCTACCTCTCGGATAATACCATTTACCTAATCCCGGTTCACTTCCATTTATCCTGTCATCCTTACACGCTGTACTGAGAATATTTTGACTAGTTGCAGGCTTAGGAGCTGTAAATTAAATTTAAATTAGTCACTCACTTGGACTGTTTTTATTCAAAATAAATAATTAATATAAATAAATAAACTTACCAATTAAACCACCAATCAAAAAACAAATAACCTGGGCAATAATCAATAAAACAACAAGCACTGACAATTTTTTACCGCTCAAATTTTCAATAATAGTTCCCTGCATTTTTACAATTAAAACAAACAAACCACGTTACAAACACCGCAAAAGCCGGAAAATGTCTGACGGTATCTGTAAAAAAAAATTAATAATTACAACTTTAAATTACATAACAAATAACAAAATTATCAGTTCAATTGAATAATTAAATAAAACTTAACTTACATAAATAATTAATAGTTGTAAAAATATTAAAAACACTTTGTGAAGATTACGCCGAGATTTAGTGATGCCGCCTTTGTTAGTTTTGTCGCCACACTTGTCTCAAACTTATCTCGATCTCCAGTTTCCCTTCTCGTCGCAACTGCAATAGCTTCTGACTCAGCTCTGCTATACTCTGTGCAAGTTGGATGTTGGATACTGGACCTGGTGTACGGGAGTAAGGACAACTGAAGACTAAGGATCAACGAGGACTCTCGGATTAACCAACAATCAACTTGAGCACAAGGATTACACTTGTTATTTTATAATAACCGAATTCTCGTTCGCTATTGGACGCTCAGGTTTGCTCTAAAGCTTCCAAGGACTCTTGCGATCGCCAATAGTATTCCTTCTTTATGAGTTTCGTCGTATGAGTAACATATGTACGTATACACATGACACTTACACAAATATAAATGTATATACTGTAAAATCAAGTAATAAGCCAGTAAGTGGTGGGAGTTTTTTTTTTTTACTGAGTACTGAGCAAGCCTGTAAACTCAAGACTTCAGATCATGATATACTACTCTTGAAAACTTGAGTACTTTTTTAACTTAAATAATTACTGTAAAAAATAAGACAAAGTAATTTTTTTAATTTTATTGTTGGACTTGGTTGTACTTATGTATAAAAATACCTACATAACTACAAGTAGTAATTAATAATATGTGACTGTGCCTTCTGTTTTTTTTTTTTTTTTTTTTTTAATATTTTACTTTATTTTATCTCAGTTGTAATATACATTTTTATATAAATATAAATAAGAGTAGTATAAAAAAAATAATTTATCAAATTGTGTTTATTATTGATAATTTAACTTAATTATTGAAAATGGAAGCTTTGAGGGTGGGGTATGTTGATAATTTATGTTCTAAATATGTCTATGATAATTACTTAGTTTTTAGTTAAGTTAAATACAAGTGCTAATTATATGTTATTAATTTCAGGATGCTTAAAAAATAAATGTGGGCGTGAATGTCATTTATGGCTGATGAAAATTATGTATTTCGATTGATGAAAAACCAAAATAATAGAAGTAGGTTTGAGGATAGTGATAATAACTACGAGCAGCGACCTCTGATGAACGCGAATGGCGAGCTGGTGACAATGGATGCCAATGGAAATGGAAAACGTGCGGCAAATAAAAGCATTGATGCTTTCTACCGACAACAAAAACAAGATTCTGATGTAAGTTGTTATTCAATTATTTTATTTTGCTCGTTTTTAATATTTTCTTACACTTCACCTTGTCGTATTCGATTTCCGCTTGTGATATCGCATTTGACAGCTGGACATCTGACCTTTATGACTACTCTTTGTTATTTTTAGATAGTTTTATAGTTTATTTATTATTTTAATTATTGATTGAGTGATTAATTGGATGGTTGATTAATTAATATTATGGTGGTTGATTTTTAGGATGAAGCCGAATGCGCTGATCTGGACTTTATTTACGATGACGCTGACACTCATGTCAACGAAATTGCTGAGTTGTACAGTTATACTGAGCAGTATGAACTCCAGCTTAATCTTAAAGTAAGTTTTCTTTTTTTTTTTTTTGTTTATAATAGTATACACAGTAATAGAAGTATCTAGTATTATTACACTGAAAAAAAAATTCTTGAATGGAGTGTAAATTCTCTTTCGTTTTCCTTAAAATTTTGTTGGCGCAAGTAAATTTTTTTTTTTTTTTTTTTTTTTTTTTTTTGTGTAAGAAGACAAAATTTCAATTAATTATGTGGCCAATAAATTTTTTTTAACAACACTATTCATTTTTATTAGTGTATATTTAATATTTGTAATAAAATAACTGAGGAAAAAAGATTTTTAATAAATTAATTATTTAATTAGGCATTTGATGACCAAATGGAAAGTTACAAATTGAGACCATGGTGGCAAAATCTGTCACAAGCTCAACAAAAATCAGTTATATTAAAATTACTCGATCAATTGGAGGTATCAAATAAGCATATGCGTATGAAAGCTGCTAGATGCATACTTTATTTAGCCCAAGGTTGCTGGGGTGAAGTACAATCAGACAGAGAGCAGCAGGAGTGGACACGTACAAACGTAATGCTGCTGTATGAAGCCGGAGTATTTTCAGCATTTGTTGAACTATTGAATATTGAAATAGAAAATAATACAGCTGCTAGTTCTGCGATGAGAAAGTTGGCTGTAAGTCTCGCAGACTCTGTCGATTTACGGGTCATACTGTCCGTTTTATACATTATTACTGAAGTTATGAGAGAAGAGTCCAAGAATATTAATACCAGTATTTATAAAAACAATATTCTTAATTTTAAAGAAGAGCTTGTTCATCCTTACGGCAATGATTTTTTGATAGTTAAATTATTGGGTATGGTAACGTGTTTTTGTAGCGGCTCTGCGCCTCACTTTCCTATGAAGAAGGTCCTGCTGTTGCTCTGGAAGCTGATTCTGGTCTCGCTGGGAGGGATCGACGAGTTAAGAAGACTCAAACGCGAGTATCGCGAAGAAGCTGGACTCGATACAAATCAAGAAGATACTATCGAAGTCGCGAAGACAATGCGAGCTAGTTCTCCACCCGCCAGCGCCACTGATCTCATCGGAGAGCAGACTTTTGGTGCCAGCAGACGAAAATCACGCAGAAGATTGATGAAGCAGAGCTCGTATGAAGAAGTGGTAGTCTTCGGAGCCGAAGATTCCGTCGAAGGCGGTGGATCTGGAGACAACGAAGGTGACGGAGAAATGATGGGGTACATGGACCAACCACCAATGGATTCTTATCAGTCAAACAATCATTGCGATGATTTAAACAACCAGCAGTTACCTAGACCAAGCACTCCGCAGCCGGCTAGAAATAAAGGACTACCCTGGACTCCGAAAGTCCGTCAGAAAGATGTCTCAGCGTTTTTAGACACTTCGAGACTTAAATTTGTGGGGTATAAATTGGAAGGCGACAATGACAGTTTAATCGGCTTGCCCCAACCTATTCATGAAGGTGTCCAAACTTTGAAGCGTCACATGTATACGTCGCTAGCAGAGGTTCAGATTACAAAGGAGGAAGAAATAGCGAGAAATCCGCTGACGACTCCTGAGCCTCCATTGAGACAAACGCCTACGGAAATTTTGTATCAAGCTATTCTTTCTAATCTTCCTCAGTACATGATTGCATTGCTGAAGATTTTACTTGCTGCTGCTCCTACGAGCAAGGCCAAGACTGACAGTATAAATATTATGGCGGATGTACTGCCTGAAGAAATGCCAATGACTGTTTTGCAGTCGATGAAACTAGGTATTGATGTTAATCGTCATAAGGAAATAATCGTAAAAGCTGTATCAGCTATTTTACTTCTATTGTTAAAGCACTTTAAAATAAATCATATTTATCAATTTGAGTTCATGTCACAACACTTGGTATTTGCTAATTGCATACCTTTAGTTCTTAAATTTCTTAATCAAAATATTTTGGCTTACATTGAGGCTAAAAATGTGTAAGTATTTTTATTTTATTTAGTTTTATTTATTAATTTGCTGGAATATTAATTAAAATAATTATGTATTTATTTTTGCAGAATTCCTATTCTTGATTTTCCGATTTGTGTGATTGGTGATCAACCAGAGTTGACTACTGAAAGCTTGGAAATCGGTGATAGTCAATCGTATTCATGGAGGAATGTTTTTTCGTGTATTAATCTATTGCGTATATTAAACAAATTGACTAAGTGGAAACACAGTAGAATAATGGTAATTTTTTTTTTTTTTTTTTTTTTTTTTTTTTTATATATTTTATGATAAATTGAAATTGATTTTATTTTTTTGTTTAGATGTTAGTCGTATTTAAATCAGCACCAATTTTAAAGAGAACATTAAAAGTAAGACACGCAATGATGCAATTGTATGTTTTGAAACTTTTAAAAATGCAAACTAAATATCTCGGACGACAGTGGCGTAAGACAAATATGAAAACAATAAGCGTTATTTATTCTAAAGTAAGACACCGCCTTAATGATGATTGGGCGTATGGAAATGGTTAGCATTGATTTTTATTGTTAAATGATTTTTTATATTTTATACAAATGTGTAATAAGTAAAATTTTATAGATCTTGAAGCAAGACCGTGGGACTTTCAAGCGGAAGAATGCGCCCTTAGAGCGTGTGTTGATCAATTTAATAACCGACGATACATTCATGTAAATAAAGATGAACAAATGGAGCCTCTTGACACGTGTGTTACTTCCGTATTAGGAGCAAACGTCGAACTGACGGATGAATTTAAACAGCATTATGAGTTATGGCTGCAACAAGAAGTCTTTCAAACTAGTATAGACTGGGATAAATTATTGGAATTAACTCGCAGTGAAATTTAAATCCCATGTTAGCTCAAACAATACTCACTAACTTGATACTCGAGCACTTTATTTTAATTTTTCTACAATAGATTTAGGTGTTAGATAATCAATATATCATTATATCTATAAATTACGACTAACAATTTTGGAACATTATTATAGTAATTTAAATCATTGACGTGACTCGTGATTGAAAGATTTTAAATGTGAAACTGAAATTGATGAATCTTTTTCACTGAATTTTCAATCGTCTGAGTGAGTGTTATTGTACTGTATTATTTTTATTTTTTATTTTTAAACGATCAAATTTATAGTAACTGTTTATAAAAAACGTGATCATTAATTCACTCAAACTCATTTACAATTTAAATTGTGTGTTTGGAATTAAATGAGAATAACTGAAAGTTATATACGTGTTATGTTGTAGATTAAAATTTTAATTTTTACTCATTATCATCTTCATCAATAATTATCATCGTAATTATACTTAACGTATATAAAACCATTGAAATGTCTTCGCAAATTGATTTATATGTAGAAATTAATTATTCTGTTAATTTTTTTTTAATCAATCATTGTTTTTTTTTTTATTATCAACACTATATTTGTTGTCAAAAAATTTTAATTATTCATGCAGATTATCAAGTTTCATTTAACAGTAATTATTATTAAAGTTCTCAAAAGTACAATCGCTTTCATGTGTACAAGTTATTTATAAAAAAAAAATGTAAAATTTATTTATCCTCAGTTAATAAATTATCAATGACTATTTATAATTAAATAATTAACAAGAAATATTTCTCATAGAAAATTTTATTATTTAAACGTACAATATGATTTAAATTTTTAAATAATTTTAGTATCAAAAATTTATATAAATTTATAATATATAAAGGTACTTGTAGTTTATGTGTACTCTTAAGTTAAGTACATTATAAACTAAAAGGCACTGGTTTAATAATTTTAGATCTGTAATCAATTATAAAAAATTGTATATATATATAAAAATAATTAACGATGTTCTGGCCATTTATAAGATCCGTAGTAAACGAAATTATTTTTCTTAGCCATCGCATCGGCTTCTTTTGGTCCACGAGATTTGTACTTGTAAGGAATCGGAGGGATTCTTTCGTTTTCGATTTGATGAAGCAGAGGAGTGAATATTCTCCATGCTTCCGATAGTTCGTCGCTTCGTACGAAATGCATTTGAGATCCACAAAATACGTCTAATATTAATCGTTCATAAGCATCAGGAAGCTTTATATTCTAAATGAATAAATAAATAAATAATTAATTTAATTATTAAGTACACAAGTTACGAGTAATAGCGAGAAATGAAATAAAAGATATATACTATAAATATATTATTATGTAATTGTTATTTACCTTGTATCTTTTGTCATAAGTGAGATCTAGCTCAGTTTCTTCCATGTTAAATGTTATTCCTGGGGTTTTAGTCATCATCTTTATGTACAGAGCTTCACCCGGTTGAACTCTGATGACTAATTCATTTCTTTTAGCTTTTCCGTCAAATATATCTCCAGGTACGTCTCGATATTGCACCCGTATATCTGCTTTACGTTCATTCAATGCTGGAGAATAAAATAATTTAAAAAAAAAAATATTCAAATATTAAAATTAAAAAATTCTCACAAAAAAAAAAATTACCTTTTCCACACTTAAGAATAAATGGAACGCCGTCCCATCGCTCGTTATTTATTTTCAAAACCGCTGCTGCGTAAGTTGGAGTTGTCGAATTGGATGGAACTGTTGGATCGTCAAGATATCCTAGTCTTGCTTCAGGATCTTCTGCATCAGGATCACCAACATATTGTCCTAGGACTACATCGTCAAGCTCCAATGGCTTAATACATTTCAAAACTTTAACTTTTTCATTTCTATAAAAAATAAAACCATTTGTAAATTAATATACAGTACTACTACACTGAAAAAAAAAAATGAACTTGATTCAAGAGAAAAATTGTTGAACCATGAATATAATTTTGAAGAGAGTAATTGTCTTGAATCAAGACGAAAATTTCTTTAAATTAAAAAAAAATTTCTTAAATCATGAATATTAAGTTCTTCAAAATTATACTTGATTCAAGAACATTTTTTTGCTGTGTAGTAGTGATTAAATTTAAATTGCAAATATATTTTTTTAGTACCTTATATCATTGGGACAACAAGAAGCTGGTTTTTCCATAGCAAATAGAGACAAAATTTGCAGCAAATGATTCTGCATCACGTCTCGTATTATCCCGAATTCGTCAAAATATCCACCTCGTCCTTGCGTACCAAAAGGCTCCTTAAAAGTAATTTGTACCGACGCGATATTATCGCGGTTCCAAGTAGGGCTGAATATTCTATTACCAAACCTGAGAGTCATTAAATTTTGAACCATTTCTTTTCCTAGATAATGGTCTATTCGGTAAATTTGTTCTTCGTTGAACAGAGAAGCCAGATGATCTGACAAGCGCTGAGATGATGGCGCGTCGCGACCAAACGGTTTCTCGATAATTATTCGAGTCCAACCTCTGAAAATAATTACTTTTTTAATAAATTTATACAATATTTAATTAACTATAATTATAATATGAAAATGTATACTTACTTTTTACCCATACACTTATTTTTAATATGCACGGTAACTTCTTCAAAAACCGAAGGCGGAAGAGCTAAATAGAATAATCTATTTGCTTCAGAACCATTTTCAAACTTCATCAGCTCGCTGTTTAAATGCTCAAAACTTTTATCAGAGTCATAAGGTCCTTGGACATAGTAGTTTAGTTTCCAAAATGCTTCGTACTTTTCTTCCTCTCCGGGCTTTACTTTCATGTACTGGTGACACTTGTCACGCAAATCCTGCAGAGTTAATTTACTACGCGCGTAACCAAAGAATGTTGTGGTTTTTGGTAATAAATTATCGCGGAATAACCACCAGAGAGTTGGATAGATTTTTTTCTTCGCCAAATCACCCTAAAAAAAATTTTTTTTAGATTAAACTGAGTACTATAGCTTCTTTATTAATAAAAAATAAACTTACTGATGCACCAAGTGTTATAAATATATGTGCTCGCTGGCCGTAAAAATGCGTTCCTTCTAATCGGTCCATCTCCTCACATTTAAGATCATGCCAGATGATCTTAAGACTTTCTTCCGTAGAAGCTCCTGAAAAAAAAATGATTATTTATATTATAAATTGTTTATTTTTAGGGAAAAAATTTTATTAAAAATTATTATATTAATTTTTTTGCTATTCTGTTTTATATAAAATTTAAATGATTAAACTCACTAATGAAATGATTACTCATGATTGCTAAAAACTTTATTTTTATAATCAAAAAATTGATAAGTTTATTGAATTTACGTGTAGACCGAACGATTGTATCTTTACGACTGACGCAAAACAATCAACTCAAAGTACAGGATAGAACGAAGCATGTTGACGGCAAATTAAAGTCAAAATACCACTGATCCAAGACCGAGGAGTGAGGATTGTATCTATACTTCACTAATACAACTACTAATATAATCACAACTACTATAAAATATAATATAAATAAAAGACAAGTATGAACACAAGTATTAAGTGTAAATATTACATCAGTGGCCATGAAAAATGAAATGATTTTACTTCCTTTACCTAAAGCAACTAAATAATTAGGATAAGGATAAACATTCGGCCATGAACAAAACTATCTCTACGATTGTTCTTTTATAAACAATTAAAAAATTTTTGAGGTCAGAAAAAAAGTCGTTTGCAATTATTACAATATAACAAAAGAAATTATAACTTTCAATGTAACACAATCATGCAAGAATTAATCTCTTGGAAATTTAAATTATTCCTGTACTCTACATCAATTATTACGTTTAAAATTAAATTTACATTTATAGTTACCTACAATTTTTAAATGCGCAATAAATTGTCGTTACATGTTATCAGTGAAATCAAATTTTTTTTTATATAAATTATTTTTACCTTGAGTTCTTAATTTAAAAAATTACAATCACTTAGATGACGCGCAAAAAGATTACTGACTATTTTTCATGATTCTTCTGGTTGAAAAAAAAAAAATAACTAATCGAATTTTTTTACGTCATTTCTGATTAATGATACTTTAATAACTATCATAATAATAATAATAGTAATAATTATTTAAATATTATACAATTAAAGTAAAAAATATTTAATCTTAGGACAAATAAAAATTGTCCTGCGACAAAGTTAATACTGAGTAAGAGCTTTCCGAAGGAAGATCTTATTTATATATGATCCATGATGAATGTGAATATCGGGTAACAAACGTTGCAACCAATCGTAAAAAGTTTTTTGTATGATCGAGCAATTTTTCGCTGGATGAAAAGGTAGGAAAATTGAAGGTGGGGGTCATAGCAATTATCTCAGATCCTTAATTGTTCTATGCATTTTCCATTCTTCTTCATTCGATATTCTTAAGTTTTGCCCAATGTTTTTTTGATAAGTATCATAATATTTTTTTGTTTTTTTTTTTTTAATATAATATTATTTAATTTAAGATAATATAAATTAATAACAATAAATGATTAGTTGCAAAAATAATCAAAGAAAATAAATACTTTTTTTTGTGTTCGATTAAATATTTTCAAAGATTAATATTTTTGGGCAATAAATTTCTATAAAATAATAAAATTAGAATGAATGTTATTCATTGACCCAAAGCGGAAGTTCACGATCAGTGTAAATGAGTAAAAGTATAATATAGTCAGAGCTCGTTTTACTATTAATTGATATCACAAGCTTATGTCAATACGTGCGTAAATCGTTCGATAGATAACAGTGTGTTGGTAGTGGCGTGATTTGTAATGACATAACTATGATAATTACTTTAACTGAATTGTTAATTTTTATTTATTACAATAAATTATTTGTTCCTTTTTAAATATTTCTTTTCAGAGAATAATATTTGAAAAATTAAATTAATGAGCTGTTAAAAATTATTTTGAATAATAAACAAATGAAAAATTAAATTTTTAATAATAAAAGCATAATCTATTTTATGGAAATTAAATATTTTTGTTATAAGATTAAAATATTAATGTACACGTGTCAATAAAATTCGAAAAAAAGAGAAATGAGTAGTCATCTTTTCAAAATATAAAAAAATAAAGTAATCAATTTTATATTTTATTCTTAAAAAAAATAAAAAATAAATTAACTTACGTCGTTCCATTGTTGATAATTTATTTACTACAGAAAAATAATAAATATTATTTTTTTATCTAATGCCCTTAGAGTATTTTTCGTTGTTAATGATAACGCAGTTTCTGGTGTGCTTTATCTGAAATTATGATAAATGATTAGAAAAATTTTTTTTTTTATTATTTAGGATTATGATCAAAGATTAAAGATTAGATATCAATAATATGTAAATCAAACTTACTTTATTTGTTCAAATATAAAAATACTTATGTAGAGGTTATAAATAACGGGTTTATTGTTTTTGTTTTATAAAATATAGGTAAATATTTAAAGACTTTCAGTAAATCATCAATAAACCTTTGTGTTAATTTAAATAAATTTAATGGAGTAGAAAAATATATTCAAAACTAATAATTCGAACATAAATCTTTAATTTAATGAGAATAAATATGCCATACGTACACAACCGCGTACATATGTGTATACGTATACCAAAATATGTAAATAAATATATTGACTAAACTGAAAATATACAGGCTGTATTTTTATTTTGAAATAAAAATGTTGGTAATTTATGGAAGAAATGATTTGTATCTTCTTGTGATAACAGCAATTAAAGACAGTTATCATCACATTGACATTTTTTTCATGCTATATTATTTTAATTATGAACTATTTGATAAGTATCAATTCTGATGACAATTTTATTGATATATTTTATCAAATATACTGAATCATAGTAATTTCGCTTGATAAGTAATTATTTTATTAGATTTTTATTTATTTTATCAACACTTACCTAGAATATATTTTTAAAATTATTTTAATATGAATTTTCAACTTCATCTTTTTTTTGCACTAGGGATTTTCAAAATTTTGTCAGTCTAATGTCTTTAATCAGATGTAAATAATTAATTGACATATAAATATTTTAGAGTTTAAATAAATGTTAAATTGAAATAAAAAAAATTTTTTTTACGTTCTAATTAACTTAAAAAACTTTGAAATTATTCATATCAACTTTAAGTTATATTTAAGAATTAGCAATTAAAAATTACCTTCGAAGTTTTGATAAATAAATTCTAAAAAAAGTGTTTAAATGTTCAATATTTTCGAACAGGCTCATAGAGCTCATAGAACAATTTCGAAAGTATCCATGCGCAGCTCCATCTGGTTAAAAATAAAGTTTTTCATATTTATTTTAAACCCCGAAACAAGTGTAATATAAGGTTAACACATTAAATATTTATTTTTATATTCTTATTTTAATTGTTATCATAAATTAATAATTAAAAAAATCAATTCTGATGTTTTAAAAGGACACTCAATAAATTACTAGTTATATTTTTTTTTTTAGAACTGAGCAAATTTGTAAAACTAACCTCTTAGATTTATTGTAAAATAATTAATATTATTATTATATGTATAATTGTTTATCGAATACTTAATTTTATTAACATCAATTTATCAAAAAATATATTTTTTAGTTGTTAATTTTTTATTAATAAAATTAAAAAAAATTGTTTTAGATAACAATGAAGTGGACAGAGCATTTGATGAAATGGGCCAGATCGCCACAAAATGAAAACAAAGTCAAATTCGTACCTCAAATGCCATTTGTACTGAGAAATCGTATTACCGGCAAAGGAAGTATTCATAAAGGTAAGCAGTTGATATTAAAATAAAATAAAGTTATTTACTAATTTTTTATTTATAAAAAATTCTCGTACCTGAATGTCATTTAGGATGAAAAATTTCTCCTGGATGAATTATGATCGGTGTAATGATATTTATTATTTATTACTTATCATATTATGTTATCTATAATTAATCTATTATATTCTATCAACTAGTACTATATTTATATTATAGTTAATATTATATTAATTTTATATGTACTTGATTATGATGGTCCTTAGGGAGCACTTGCTCTAGGAACAAAATTTAATAAATAAATAACTAATGATATTTAATAATCAAATTTACAGAAAAAGGATGCTTGCAAGAGACTTCTGTTGTTTTAGCTTGTTTAAAACTGAATGACTTTGAAAACAACAAGTGTCTTAAAGAAATCGAAGCCTTCGACAATTGTTACAAAGTTCATACGAAAAACACCCAGTTTGCCAAAAATGAAGCACACAAAGGTACACTAGTTCCTGGGGCAAAAAATCTTAAGTACAAGCAAGTTAACAAATTACTATCGAGATACCCTCAAGAAAATCGAGACTCCAGAAAATAGAATTAAATGTTTGTTACAAATGCGTTTATTTTCATTTGTTTTTATTACTGCTACTGTAGATTATTGTACAAGTCATTGATAATAAGTTATTGTAAAATCGGGTGAAAAAATGTCAACTTAAATCGAATTTAATTAAAAATTAGTCTTATGTTATTCTATAAATTTACAATTAGTCTTATATTATTGCATAAGCTTACAATTGATTTCCTAACTCCATCACAGAGGGTCATGATTTCTCATCATCAAAGCCCTTGATTGAAGGCTTATGTTCAATACCTTTAGATTCGTTCAGTCTTTTTACGGCCAGCCGCGTTCTATATCCTAATTTTAATAATAAATATATAAATAATTACATTTTTAGAGTTAATGACTTTAATTACTTACTGAAAGGTTGAGGAGCTTCTTGTAGCGCATGCAATTTTTTTTCAATTCTTCTCAATACTCGGTTATTTTCCATGTGCTCGTCTCGGTATGAGTAATAAGAGTAAAGTAAAATACTCATGCATAATAATAATACTATTTTTCTTAATCCCCATGTGTAATAAGCTAATTGGATCTGAATAATCAACACAACAATTAAAATAAACTCTTAATTAGTTTTTCTTTTAAAAGTTTAATAATAATAATAATAATAATAATTAAAAAGTTCAATAATTCAAAGCCAACTTCCCCGATCCAAATTTTAGACATATTTCAAAATTTATTAATTCATACCACGACGTTTCGTCATGAGCACTCATGACATCCTCAGGTGAAACTAATATAATTCAAATTAAGTCTAAAAAAATTTTTTTACTTACTTTGGATCGGGGAAGTTAGCTTTCAATTATTGAACTTTTTAATTAGTGAAATCACCGATCTTAGTTATATATAAAAAAAAAATAATAATAACAATAATACCTTATCTTCTGGGCTCGTAACATTAATATTGTATTGAACTAGCATTCTCTCTAAGGTGACATTCAAACTAAGTACTACAAAAAGAGTTATCCTAGAATCGGCTGTTCTCTTAGAAGAACTAAATAATGCACAAATGATGCAAGCTATCGAATAATAAACAATTGACTGGAACCAAGAAACTTCTCCAACAATCCAGTCTTGGAAAGCGCGCATGTATGAAAATATTTCATTCAGCAATGCTTGCTGACTTTTAGAACTTTCTCTATAAAATAAACAAAAAATTAATCAACATCTGAAACAATTTTGAGGAAGAAACATGAAAATTACTTGAAGTCCAACACCATCTCGTTCACTGAATTCGCAGATGTTTTTATAACAGTACCAAGTTCTTTCCCATTGACTAATAACTCATTTTGGATTTTCAACCCTTCCTTTTGACTCTCGAGCATTGAACCCTGAACCTTTGAAGCTTCGACCAACTGTTCTGTCATTTTTGATGAAGCTGCGTACAAACTATTAATAAAAAATCAATAAATAAAGTCAATGATTCCTGAAATTGATGGAATAAAAAAAATTATTACTTTTGAAAAGTTCTTTCAGTTTCAATTTGCCAGAGTTCATGGTTTAAATAAAAACAAATGTGAGTAGTATGAGTGTAAAATTCATTGTAAACTCCAAAAGCTCGGTCAGACATACTATTGATGCATTGTCTGTAATAGAGTAATCATTAATATTAGGTACATATTTTGTAAAAATTTATTAAGGGGGTCCTCTGGTTTGACGCCCTAATGTTTGAGCATTTTTTAGGATTTTTTTGTAAAGACCAATGAAGAGATAGAACTTTGAACTTTTTACTATTGGTTTATACATATTTCAAGAGTATACAGTTAAATTTTTGGCTAAAAACATTCAGTAGAATTAAAGTTATAGTGGTCTGAAGACACCCACCTCGAAAAAAATTAACGCTTACTTCCTCTATGATATCAGCTAATTGGTTTATCTGAAACAAAAAAAAACCGGCGGGGTTTTAATCTGTATACTTAAATACACCGAGTGGACTACAATCAAAAAAAAATTATTAAAATTGGATTTTTGACAGACTTCAGAACGAAAAGTCCTAATTTTATGTATTTTTTGTCAACTTTTTGATCCAAAAAAAAAATAGAAATTTAATAGAATAAAAATAATAGAATTTAATAAAAAATAGAAACTTTAATTCTATTGAATATTTTTAGCTAAAAATTTAACTGTATACTCTTGAAATATGTATGAATGAATGGTAAAAAGTTCAAAGTTCTATCTGTTCCTCAAGCGTCATATAAAAAACTGTTTACTTTTTGGTAAATTTTATTTAACAAGAAGTTAAAAATTAATAATTGTCAACTTAAATTTAATAAAATATTATCAAAAAAATTTTTTGTGCCGCTTGGGTCATTGTTCTTTACAAATAAATCCTAAAATACATTGAAAAATCAGGGCGTCAAACCAGAGGACCCCTTTAATAATTAAAAGTAAAATATTCTTTAGATAAAAGTGTCACCTTCGATCAGCTTCCGTTTCACTGAAATGACAGTCGTATGTTATATGCCCTGAATCTTCTAAAAAACAATTTGCTAGTCTTAATGCTAGTAATGAGTGTTCCTGATCATTTAATTTGTTGCAATTATTTTTTAATTCCTTTAATGCTTTATGCCAGCATGGTCCATGTACAGGTAAATTTGATTTCGCTGAAAAAAAAATTATTTTTTTAGAAAATCCGACAAATATGAAAAATTCTTAGTCGAATAATTTATGATCCAATTATTTACTCCAATTTTTAAAAAATAAACAATTACCTTTCAATAACAAATATTCTTTCTCTCCTAATTTTTTGAGCTCCAAATTTCCCTCGAATGTCAAACAACATTTGAACATGCAAATTAATAAAATAAATAATTTGTCCATTTTAATAAAAATTAATTATCTTCTTAAAAATACGTTTTTAAACATGAGGTTATTATTATAGTTTACCTGTCAAAAAAATAATAAAATATTAGCACAAGTTATTTATGTAAATAAAAATCTCACTATTTTGGTGAATAATTTAAATTAATCAACAAACCGTGCATGTAAACAAAAAGTTAAGCTGAAGGATGACCGTTAAAAAGTAGCTCCGATAGTTGACAGCCAGCGTGCTGAGGGCATTTGAGCGCCATCTGTCCTTTTAAACTGAAAACAAAGATGAAGTAGAGTAGAGGTAAATTATACTATAGTTTATTAAAGGAACGACGTAACACGTGTGTTGAGCTGAACTGTATCATTAATTTAAAGCGACGGTGGTGGTGGTAGTAGTAGGGAACGGGATAATAAAAATTTCGTCATAAATTCGTAGTCGTGCTCATCACATACTCGTAAGTTCATTTATTTTTTTATTTTTTAACTGTTGTTTATTTATAATAATACGTAATTTTTATAAAAAAAAATTTAACAAATAATTACAGTAAGTGTTGATAATAAATCATCGTATGAGAATTTAATAACAGAGTTTATGAAATAACAATATTATGATACAACGTATGTGTGTCTTATACGACAATGAGCTGGCAAAATCCTCTGCATCCATTGTTATAAATTGCGTTTGTAATTTTATCCATATTAAATTACTGTTATTGAAAGATATTTCCAATTATTAACACAAACTAACCATCGTTATTATTAAAACTTGTTATTTACAACGTGTTCGATAGCTTATCTTTTTCTAATGAATTTATTTCTAACCTTTATCTCAAGTTATTTCATAACCTCATTATTAAAAATAACATATTGTTGTTTCATACATTTATTATTAACAAGTATTGATAATATATATTAACTTAAAATTTTTTTATATATATTTTACCACATATATTACGTTAGTTTATTTTTATAAAATAACAAAACTAATAATAATTATTTTTTTTAATTCCAGGTCAAAGCACGATTGGATTTAATTTTTTTTTTTTAATTGTACATACATATATATACTCATATATCTATATTAATTTTGTGATTTGCTTATCATCGATCAGTAGACGCAAGTAACAACGAATAAATAACGATTAAGTTTATTAAATAATTTGCAATTGTTATAAAAAAAAGGTAATAACATTTGGAGTGCACAACGACGACTCTCTATGATCGCCACCACAGCTATTGAGGTCAAAGAAATTTTGTTTATCATAAATAAATTGTTATTATTACTGCTGTCTAATAATTTGAAGGATATCATCGATACCGATAATAATACCTTGTGGAAAATAACAGATAAATATTGCTATAATCATAATTGTTATTATCAACGAGACTCATTAGTCAGTGGAGCTAAAAGTGGTGATAAAAATGCGCAACGAAATAACAGCTGCTGTACTATTTTTAGTACAGTTGATCGAAAAAAACGAAAAATTTAGTCCTGATCAGTTGGACTGCTTTCGACGCCGGTTGATAGAGCTGCTGACCGAGCGGTTCAAAAATCACTGGTTCCCGGATAAACCCTTCAAAGGACAGGGGTACAGATGTATACGAGTGAATGGTAACAGTCGGAGGGATGCGACGTTGGAGAGTGCTGCTAGTGCTGCTGGTTTCAAGTACGAAGATTTGTCATTACCTGTTGAACTTACTCTATGGGTAGACCCTCACGAGGTATGCTGCCGCTTTGGCGAGAATAAAGGATCATATTGTACTCTGGCTTCCTTTGATAACAACAGTGCTAATCATCTTCACGATATCGACGGCTCTGAGAAGGAAAACAAATTTTTTCAAGGATCTAATCAGGTACTTTTATAGTTATTAGGAATTTTAGCAATTAACACTGATTCTGACCTTATTTTTTTTTTTATTTATTTTCTTTAAGTGTTACACAAGTTAGTGAAAGTATTTGGTTACTTAAAGTTATCTAATAATTTAATTTGTAAATTGTTCCACTTCTAATTTATATCATGAGTTATTTATTTTGTGCTATAAAATAATAAAAAAAAAAAAAAATGAAAAAAAATTAATAAATTTTCAAATAAAAAAAGGTTGAATAAAAATTTTTTTTTTTAATCATTTTTAAGTCTATTACATTTTTTGATTCGATTAAATAACGAGATACAATAATGATTGGTGTTACGTAAATTATTGTAATAATCGATAAAATACCGTAAAAAAAAAAAAACCAACAAAGAAAATTGAAAATATCAATATACTTATGAATTAACTAACAAGTATAATTATAAAATTAAGTTATATATATATATATATATATATATATATATATAATAATGATGGTAATAAATAATTTCTTTGATAACAGAAAAATATCTCAAATGTTGGTACGGATCAAGTAAAACCAAAGCCACTGAGTTCATCTAATCAAAATCATCAGCAGTCAATTAACAGTACCAATAACAATAATACTAGCACTACTACTTCTTCAACGACAAGTACCAATGCAACCAATAATAATAACAACAACCACAATAACGGACCAGGTAGGCGTCGTCATTTGATAAATAGTCCACGACCACATCTGTCACGTAACCGTTCGTGGTTCAACCATTCATTCAACATGGGTTACGGTCCTCATCCAATGAGCCAACCCTGGTACAACGTAATGCCACCTCACACTTTCCTGGGTGGTCCATCTCCGCCACCATTCGTCGGTCACAGAGGTAATAAATGGATCGCGCATCCTCCTTCTTACTCTGCTGGACCTACTCGTTTTCATCACTGGTCTCCAAAAGCTGCTCTCAAAGTTTAAAAACGTGATATATAGAATTTATTTATACCGCGGGTCAACAATCAGTAAATAATTGCGGATATTGAAAAATTTTTATAAAATTATCGAATTTGTTTATGTTGTTACATTTTATTTTTTTTTTCTTGCAATTAAATGACCTGAGGTTATTTTTGTTATGAAAAAACTTGAGAAGCTGACTTTTTGGAGTCAATTGTATAAACGACCGGGCTCAAATTACGATTACGGCTTACGATTTTTATACTGTTATATAGTTTGTTTATTGACGTCATTATATTGATCGATCGATTAATTAATTGATTAACTGAATCATAAGACAAACAATTTAATTATATTAACAAAGAATAGAGTAATATGGTTTTTGTTACACTCCGAATGCAAAGTTGCTTGCTAACGGAATTATTAATATTGATTATATATAATTATTAATATTATAAATAATATAAAAAAAAAAAAATTTATTACAGTAATTTAAATTGGAGCATTTAATTCCAAATATTTATTACCAGTCGATAATATTTTTATTTTTATAATTTTAACTACTAATTTTTTTAGCATTTATTTAAAAATTAGTAATTGAATTTTTGGAAGTAAAAATATAACGATATAATTATTTATAATATGTTAATTATCTTTATGATTATAGTGTAGAAATTTGTTATCATCAGACTACTCAATTAATTAAATGAATTTATTATTAAACAATTATACAAAGTCTTAGACTTTTGGCTAGTGAGATTTAATATTATTATCAATTATTTATATCAATTTAAAATTAACAGCCAATTGTTCAAATTACATTTCAGTTAATTTAATTCATAACAGCAATTACGGTTAATTAAAAATTATATGTTAAAGCAATTGCGATAAATTTATTTCGTTGAATATTTATATATTATTAAATAATAAAAAAGATTAGTCAATCATTGTCTGCACAGTAGATTTTAAAAAGTTCAATATACATATACATATATATATATAACTTATCTAACGTGTGCAATTGAACAAATATATATTTATTATGATTATGATTATAAGAAAATCAATTAAACAAAAAAAAAAATCAACGGCAGTGAAATTATTTTTACGTTTGCAAATTGAAGATTATTGTAGTTGTTTAAATGTTGCAATCAAATTATCATTAAAAATATTTAACTGATATTAATATGAATATATATACATATTTAATGGTGTGTGTAATTATTGCACACCACTGTCCTACTAGACTGTTTCAATGTAATTAATTGTTAAATCGTTGATTTTTTTTTATAATATATTAGTCTTATGAAATTGATGTTGAAATTTTTAAATTTAATAGTTTTTTTTTTTTATTCAAAGTAATTATTGTAATTATTGATTCAATTCAATTAAAAAAATTTATTTTCGTTATCTCGAAAAATTAATGCAAAGCAAAGTTAAAAAGAATTAATTAATATAGTTTTTGTATATTTAATTTAAAAAATTAATTTATATTTAATTAAATCGAGTGAATTTTTGTTTATCGCATATTGGCTGTCTTAATTACTTCATTGTGATGATAAAAAATTTTTAATTCATGTGTAAATAGATTTATAATATACGTTTGGAGATAGACTTGTATATATAATGATGAATTTTAATATATTTATACTCCAACATTTTGAATTTATAAAAATGAAGTTAGTCATAAATGTTATAATAAATAACAAATCAAATTTTTCTAGGCAATTCAGTGATATAATTAATAAACAAATAATAAAAGCGAGGCCATATTTTTTAAAAGTTAAAACTTCTGGCACTAATAGACGTATCAATTTTTTATAAATAAATAATTTAATAGTATTAATAGCTAAAGAAGAAATATTATTGACGAGTTTGAATTATTTGTTCAATAAATATATTCATGTAGTTAATAATATTTAATCAATATGTATAATTATATCTTAAACAAGCCTTAATATTATAGTACAAACATATATCTGTCTCATGAAAACAAAACTAAAATAACAACTTTCCTCAAAAAACTAAAAAAGAAAGAACATGGATCATCATATTATTTTAAATTTAGACAGCGCCCTCTACTACTTAATCACTCCCATGACACTCAAATATTAACCGTGTTACAATTTATTAAATTACTTAAAAAATTAAAACGCTAATTCAGTAAAACCTCATTAAGGTACAATTGTGCTGAAGTACAGATTAAAAAAAAATTTATTCTAGTTAGTATTATAAAAAAATTAATGTAAAATTAGATAAATAATTTTCGAAGTGAGAAGATGATAAAAAATGGCGGATTAGCCGATTGAAATTTGTTAAATTAGTTATTGATAATATTCCGAATTATTTTTTACATATTCTGTTAGCATAATTATAACTTAATTATCGGTTTTTTTTTTTTATTAGTGTATTGATTTATTCCTAAAATATTGCAATACGATTATGATATTTTGAGGTTAGCTTTTACAAAAGTGAAGAGGCGCTGTCTAATAATGATCTTAACATGAAACAATCAAACGACGCACGACATTTGAATAATTGTCTTCGATACTGTACTAATAATTAGATTATATAATGAAATCAATGTTAAACATTAATTACATAAATAATAGGTTGCCGTAGGACAGTAAATTGACTTAACCAACAATAAATAATAATTAATCGTTTATTAAATGTATGATGAATTATTTTACTGTTACGTCGTTCAATTGAGGAATAAAATAAATATAAATATATATATACAAATATTAAAAATACTGATACATATATAAATATATAAAAGTATACAGAGATAAATTAATTAAATATAGTGAATTATTGTGTAAAGACAAAGCAAAATTGCATTCGGATTTGTGCTTTTAAGATTATTTATATTATTATTATTTACATAACAGATATATATTATATATAAAGAGATATAGAATTAATATTATTATTTTTGTGTGGGATTATCTTTCTTCTTCGCTTATCAATTTATGTATACAATTAATCAATCACTTCTAATTATTATTATTGTATTTTATTACCGTAATATTTATAAAAATAATCTTTGCATTTGATTTCTAGTATTGAAAGCTAATTTTTTCTTTTATAAAAAACAAAAAATGACAAAAAATATTTAAACTCAATTCACTGTTATTATTATTATTATTATGTTATTTAATAATTACCTAATATTATACTTATCGAATTTATAAAATGATAATGATAGTTTAATTAACAAACTGATGATATAAAAATTGATAAATAAGTTAATAAGTGTCTTCATGGCTTTATTATTAAATTGTATTGTATTGAATAATGTGTGACGTATTTATCAGCACAATTATTATATGTACTATGAATATTTATTGAATGGTGCAATTGAAGTGGAAAACAAAAAAAAAAACATAGCTAAAAATTATTAAAAAAAATTAAAATAGGAAAATTTTTATTTTTTGTTTGTATTCCACGAAAGTTTTAAAAATTGTTAATAATATTTAATTATGGTATATGTCGATATATACTTCTTTCGTTAATTATTAATTATTGATATATTTATATAATATTAATATATGAAATGATATATGGTTTAATATTATTAAATTTTTTAGTATTTTGTAAAGAATTTATAAATGCGGAGGAATCGATATTATTTCAATGAACTGTTTTAATGAAAAAAAAAAAAAAATATAAAAAACTGAAAAAAAATCGCAAATTATAAGTTTAAGGATAAAAAAAAAAATTATACGAAGGAATCTATAAATTATCAATGAATTTTTTACTGATGAACAATTTAACTAACGACTAATGACTATTGCATTATTAAAAAATAAGTTTACAAACAAACAAGTCTACACGTAATTATACATAAATATAATAATAGAAATATAACTGATTATTATAATGCGATGATGGTGTGATGATAATATTAATAACCATTTATTGAAAGTATTCTCATTTAATTAAATATATATTATAACTTAGATGTTCATTTGGGATTGAGAATTTTACATGTTTTATTAAAGAGTTTAACAATTTATAAACGTTAAAAAAGATTTATAACACTAAATACACGGACTTTTATTCTCCAATTATATTATTATTATTATTATTATTATTATTATTATTACCGTTATTATTAATTATGTTGCAATAACAATCTATCTGAAAATTATCACTGTATACATAAATGTGGTAGAATTTATTAATAAATAGTTTTGCAAATTGAAAAATTGTTCTTTTTTTTTTATAAATCCTGTCCTTGCAAATTCTGAAGTTATATGAAAACAATTTTTTTTAAAAACTTTTCTTTGATTTTGCTACTTAGTCAATTAATGAAATCATTAATTTCAAAAATGAATATATTATTTCTAATCTTTAAGACCTTTAGATCAAAAAAATTTTTAATTTTTATTCCAAGTAGAACATTTTTTCGTTGAAAAAAAAGTGCCACTAATGGGGTCTTTTACCTTGTATCTCATATCTAACCTCAAAAAACAAAAAAATAAAATATAAAGAAGAAATAATATATTGAAGTCAGGTTAATCAGACCAAAATTTATTATGTTGATTTATTTCACTTTCGTGCAACGTTTCGTTGATTATCACCAACTTCTTTAGGCACATCTATATGGACATAATATAAAGAAGAAATAAAAAATATTTAGGATTAAATATTAGGAAAGAAAAACAAAACAAATATAATTGGTATAATTACCTTTATTACTGATTTATTTTATTAATATAATGTCACAATATAATGTCAATACGTATTAAGTCGTAATATAATAATATATATTTTTTATTCCAATATCTTAATATGTACCTCGTATTTTACTTAATATGCCTTCATAATTAATTCTTATTATGTGTTATAATATATAATATATTTATATTTATATCTTCAGGATGGTATAAATAATATTGTATTTCATTAAAAGCACTTCTTGTTGCTTATTATATTATCGCTTCCATATTGTTCATCATCTCAGCTTCTCTAAACTCAATAAACAATATTATTAAATTTACTTGACAATTAAATTG